CAACACTTAACTAATCAGGAAATTCTTCAAACCCTTAATGATAATCTCCCTCGTTAAACCTGGTTTAATGGACTCAACCTAAGATAGTAGGTCACTGGAGCTGCTGATCATTTACTGATTTTAATAATGTTTCATATATTACGATGCATTTACAAATTATTTGCCCAGGGTCGCAAAAGAGACCAGCAAGTAGCAAGTCTTGGGGGATGCGTCACCACAACAGCCTTAACAAAAAGAAAAGAAAAGGGGGACTTGTAGGGGACCGGTTTGTCTTGGCCTGGCAAATGTGACTCAGCTCTGTATGGAAAACCTACAGAAGTGAAGTGGTAGGCAGGAGCCAGACCTTCAAACCAAGCTTTCCTGTAGGAATCAGGCCTAGAAAATGCATACAGATTGTTATGGCTTGCTCTTGCTAAACTCCAAATGTGTCTAAAACAACAAATGTATATCGTCTATCTTCAAGGTAATTTTCAAAGCCTGTGTGAATTTACGCAAGGACAGAGCTAATCGGCTCATTGCCATTCCCCTCTACATGTTTTTTCATTTCCTTGATTGTACCTAAAATGTAGCAATAATATTCTATGTGATAGATAATAAATTTTTCTCTGATATAAGACCCAAGGAAAACAATAAAAGCCTGTCTAGACAAGGGTCGGGGCGCTCCCCTCTTGAGAGAGTGGCCGAGGCATCGTAGGCACTCTCCCCTTGAGAGAGGAGCCGTGCCTGTTCCCTTTTTCTCCACAGGATTGTTGTCACCTGTGCATTTATTCTCTTCATCAGCCACAACAGGCAGACTCTGCTGGACAGAGTCCGCCACGCTGATCACATCCAAAACATAAAAACCAGGGTCAGCTCAAAAGTTGACGAAGAAACTGTTTAAACACAAAATTTACCAAGTATTAAGAGACCATCGATACTTTTCAAAATAATTTTTTATTTTTAATTAGAGTGGACATACAATATTACATTAGTTACAGGTGTATGATCCAGTGATTAGACATTTATAGGACTTATGGAGTGATCACCCCGGCCAAACTGGTGCCCCTCCGACACCACACGGAGCTGTCACAGCACTACTGTCTGCATTCCCTGTGCTGTACCCGACCGGTCTCTGACTGCCAGTGTGTGCTTCTTAATCCCTTGACTTTGTTCACCTCTCTCCCCGACTCTACTGCAATCTGGCATCAAAATGGTCTCTGTAGTTAAGAGCCTTTTCTATTCTGCTTATTTTGTTTTTCAGATTTCGCATGTAAGTGAAATCGTTTGGCGTTTGTCTTTCTCTGTCTGACTCATTTCACCCAGCACAATGCCCTCTGCATCCATCCATATTGTTGCAGATGGCAAGATTTTATTCTGTTTTAAGGCAGAGTCATATTCCATCGTATATAAGCGCCACTTCTTTATACAGTCATCTGTTTATAGACACTTAGGCTGCTTCTATACCTTGGCTATTGTAAATACGCTACAATGAACATATGGCTCTATATGTCTTTTCAGTTTGGTGTCTTGGGCTTCTTCAAATGAATACTCAAAAGTGGAATTGCTGGGTCCTTCTTTTCTCTTATTGTAGCCATTGTTTTAAAGTCTATTTTGCCTGATATAAGTGTTGCTACCTCTATTTTGTTTCATTTCCATTTTCATGAAATATCTTTTTCTAGCCCTTTGTTTTCGTCTGTGTGTGTCTTTTGATCTGAAGTCAGGCTTTTATGGGCAGCGTATATAAGGGTCCTCTTTCCTTATTCATTCAGCCTCCTTATATCTTTTGACAGGAGCGTTTAATCATCGGCATTTAAATGAACTGTTGATAGATGTGTATTTAGTGCCATTTTATTATTCATATTTTTTTCTTATTCTCCTTAATGAAGACCCTTTAATATTTCCTGTAATACTGGTTTGGTGTGATGAACTTCTCGTGTGGGAAGCTGTTTATCTGTCCTCTGATTCAACTTTGCTAGGTAGAATATCTTGATTACAGGTCCTTGCTTTTCAGCACTTTGAATATTTCATGCCAATCCCTTCTGGCCTGATAAGTTTCTGTTGAGAAATTGGTCTTATGGGAGTTCCCTTGTAGGTATCTAACTGCTTTTCTCTTGCTGCTTTTAAGATGTACTCTTTGTCTTTACCCTTTGTCATTTTAATTATAATGTGTCTTGATGTGGGTAAAAGGCCATCAAGATCTTAATCTCAAGATAATCAAGATGTGAAAACTATGACAGAGAGAAATTAAGCAATTGCCTACAGGCAGTGATAGCTCAAGCCCTTGGCAGAGGCCAGGTTGGAACCCAGAACTTCCCCCTCCAAACAGGAGGGTCAAGGGGTCAAGGCCACCTTCACTGAACACTGTTCACCACCTTGTGTACAGCCACTGCCAACAGCAATAGGGGACCAGGGGCCCAGGTCCCCAGTCCCAATAGGGCCTGCTGAGTGATGTCTCAAAAGTTGAGCCCTGCTTCTTTCTGAAAACACAAGTTAGATGCTGCCTTGGGGACACTGGGGAGCTGTTGGGCCTTGTACTGAGTGAGCACTCCAAACCACAGATGGTGAGGCTGAGACCCAGGAGAGGAGGGCACCTACCCGAGTCACCACATCTTAGAAGTCCTGGCAGGACAGCAGCTCCAGGCCCCTTGACTTCTTTCTCAGCCTTGCACAAATGAATGAAATGTCAATCTTTATTGCCAGGAGGCCTGGCTCAAATTGCAGCTCTATGATCTATCTACTGTGTAAAACCAGGCGAGTAACACGCCTCTCCAAGTTTGTTCCCTCTGGTGCAAAACTGGGAGATGTGGCCTACTTTCCAGGGTTGTTATGCAGTGTCATTGAGGAACCTATAAATATCCTGCCCCACTCCCCAAAATCCGGTTCCCTCTGGGTCCCACCCCAAGCAGTGCTCAATGTATTTGAAGATGGTCCTAAAATATTTGTCCAGAGAACATTGGTTAGGGCCGTAAGAATAGTAATGGGAAAAGCCAAATTTTAGAGCAAAAACATGGGGAGAGAGGACACACATTCACCTAACAGAGCAATCCTTTCACGAAAAGAAGCCTTTTACATTCCTGGGGCATGAGCTTGAATTCCTGAATGGCTCGGGGTGGCACAAATCATCAGGAAAGATGAGGAGAGGCAGCAGGAAGAGCAGGCTTACTGCAGAAACGCAGATGGGGACACAGCTTGTTCATACAAGTAGTTCCAAGGAATTCAGCTTTGAGACTGGAGGGCCGGGTCTGATGTTGGGGTATGAAAACGTGTACAAATAGGTTGGGCACACACACACACACACACACAAACCCAACTTTAAAAAAGTGTCAAAGCCCCAGAGATGCCCTCTGGGGAATCCTGCTGGCTCCTGCCAATTGTTTATTCATTCGTCCACCAAGGATTTGCTGCGTTACCTTCTTTGGGCCAGGCCCTGAGCTGGGGCTGGGACCGCGAATGCATTGGTGACCAAGAGCAACCCAGTCTTTGCTTTCATTTGTGATTTAAACAAAAAACGATAGTCACAAAGTAGCCACCAACATAGGGAGGGTACCAAGGTCACTCTTTCTAGGACCACTTTTGACACCAAATTTGTGGTTTTCCACACCAACAACGAATTCTCCAATTCTTTGACACCAACTGGGTGTGGAACAACTCTATTCAATTTGATTCAATTCTAACACTAATGCTTGGGGTTAATGAAGACCTTGTAGTTTAGGGCAAGGTTTTTCAGCTCAAAAAGTTATGAATTCACTATAAGTGGTTGTGAGTATCCTATCTAGGTTTTCCTGCTCATTCCCACTGTGATTATCTGTCTCCCCAGCCGCCCCCAACCCCAGCCCAGAAACTTCCCAAGGGAACAGTTTAGTTTAGTTTAGTTTTGCTTCCTACTATACGTACCCCCGTGTGTGGGTCATTGTGGACTCAAAATATATATATCGACACGTAAACAAATTGATGCATCCCGTACCACCTAAGGGCTCACACCCCAGCCCATAGATATCACCAGCAGACTGTCCCAGCAACAGAAGTGCCACCATTAAACATCGCTCCTGGGAATTAAGAATTCTCTTATGGGGAACCAAGAAAGCTGTAATAGTTTCAAATTACAAATGCTTGGGGCTTTACCATTTACCAAGAGCTTTTCTTCATAAACTGCAAGTTACAGATAAAAGGAGGGGACCTTGGAGAGAGGGGCAGTAACCTAGTCACACCTTCAGGATTTGAACCGAGGTCTCTGGACTCGGGCTGGGGGCTGTGGGGTTTCTTCATGCCGCGTCCAAGTGTGTGTATTCTGCAGGGCCCAGGCTCTGTGGGGCAGGGCCAAGCAGAGGAAGACCAAGGTGGAGCAGCTGGCACTCACGGAGCTGCCTCCACAGCTTCATGCTAAGCCATCTAGCCAGCTTCTACTTTTTTTTTTGATTGATACAGGAACTTTTTATTGTAAATAACAATATTTACATTGCCACCTTTATTTACTCCGCTGTGCATATGACATAGTATCAGTTGGTCTAATCATTTCCTTCGTGGAATGTTTTTCTTTTCTTTAACCAGTACAAAATCCACTTTAGGGTCAGGCATTGCATGCAATTGTCGCATTGTTTTAATCTTCTTTTTTTTTTTTCAATTAATTAATTTATTTTTTAAATTATTTTTCAGCTACAGTTTTCTGTCTTTTACTCCCTTCCCAGCCCACCCCCGCCCCGTACCCCCCACCTCCCTCCCCTTTCCTCCCCCCTTAGTTGCTGTCCATGTGTCCTTTATACTTGTTCCTATAAATCCTTCCCCTTTCCCCCTGAAATTCCCTCCCCTCTCCCCTCTGGTCACTGTCTCCTTGTTCTCTATTTCAGTGTCCTTGTTTTTATTCTGCTTGCTTGTTTGTTTTGTTGTTTAGCTTCCTGTTAGCAGTGAGATCGTATGATATTTGTCTTTCACCGCCTGGCTTATTTCACTCAGCATAATGCTTTCCAGTTCCATCCATGCTGTTGCAAAGGGTAGGAGCTCCTTCTTTCTTTCTGCTGCATAGAATTCCATTGTGTATATGTACCATAATTTTTTTGATCCTTTCATTTACTGACGGGCACCTGGGTTGCTTCCAGCTCTTGGCTATTGTAAATTGTGCTGCAATGAACATTGGGGTGCATCGGTTCTTTTGGATTGGTGTTTTAGGGTTCTTAGGATATAGTGCCAGCAATGGAATTGCTTCTTCTTCATAGCAATCCCCCCAGGGCAGCCCCAGGGCTGGGCACTGTTGCGGTCACACCCACTGGAGGGAGACCTGGGGACAGGAGAGAACAGTCAGTGAGCTCAGCTGGGGACTGCTGAGAGCTGAGACAGCTGGGCAGTTCCTCCGTTCAAGGGGAGGAGAAAGGGACTGGGCCACCCACAGGAAACCGAGGAGGACAGCTGGGAGGCCGGGCCAGGCCAGGTCTGCAGTGCAGACACAGGACAGAGGTGAGTCAGGGAATCCGGGTTGAGGGGGGGTCACTAACCAGATCACCTAAGAAGTCCTTCCCCGTGGCTGCCAGTGACTCAGAGTCTGCTTTCTTTCACTAGACACTTATCTACTAGATACCACCTTTAGGCCTAAGTGTTAGAGCCACGGCATGAAGGTGACAAAGATCCCTGCCCTCTGGAGTTCACCTTTTAGTAGGGAGAGACGGCAATAAACAAAAACATGATAACGGACTAAACTGTATGGTAGGACGAGGCAAAAGGAAAAAGTCGAGAAGAGCAGGGGTGTTTGGGAATGCTGGGGTAGGAGTCTTGAACTTTTAAACAGGGTGGTGGGGGTGGGCTCCCTGAGAAGGTGACTGATCAAAGACTTGAAAGAGGCCATTGAGAAGCTGAGGACATCAGGGAAACAGTGTTTCAGACTAAGCGTTTCCAGGGACAGGACAGCCCTGGCAGAGGCTGCAGGTGAGGGCTGGACTCCTGAGTGTTCACTGCAGTTGGAAGCAGCAGCAGTTGGAGAAGAGGGAGCAGGAGGCAGAGAAGAGGTGGAGCAGGAAGAGAGGAGAAGGGCTAGGTGGCCTCGCAGGAATCCAGGGGGCCCCACGGACGTGCCAGGCCCCTCATCAGCATCCCCACGGCCCAGCTCCCTCCCCGCAGGGGCACCGGTTTGGAAGCCTGCTGATGAATGTGGGACTGTCGAGACCTCACAACAGCAGTGTGGAACTCATTTTCACCTCACCAAGGGCCACATCAGCCTTGCAGTAGCCTTCAAAGGGCCAAATATAATTTTAGGACTATATGAATGTCACCACTCCTTAACTAAGGGCAAGGAGGTCTACATTCAGCCCTTTGAAGGCAACCACGAGGCTGATGTGGCTCCCGATGACAATGAGTTTGACACCCCTGCCTTAAAAGTCTCCTCCCTTCCTGCCCTCTCCATAAACCTGTCCTCATGATAACAGCGGTGTATCTGCAGGTGAAAAAGAATGGGAATCCAAGCAGTGGCTGCCTGCTGAAAGGATTTAGTGCCTCCTCTGAGGTAAGCTCTCAGGACCCAAGAAGCAGCAGAGCCACTCGGGCTCGCATGGCCTTGGGGGAGGGATGTTTGAGTCAATAAGAAACCCTTCCTTGTCCACTCCAATAGCACCGCGCGGGAGCCCTGAAGGGCGCCGCGGTCAGGAAGGTTTCTTAGAGGCAGGGTCCCTGGAGGCTGGGGCCGAGCAGGAACAGGAGGGGACAGAGCAGAGGGAAAGCGTGGGAGTAAAGGACAAGCATGAGCTCCGTGCCACAGAGGGGGAGGGAAGGGGCTGGGGACTCGAGGAGCAAATTCCAAGCAAGGGAGGAAAACAATTAGTTTAAAAGTCCACTGGGCGCCCTGGCCGGTGTGGCTCAGTGGATTGAGCACAGCCTGTGAACCAAAGGATCACAGTCCGATTCCCAGTCAGGGCACATGCCTGGGTTGCAGGCCAGTTCCCAGCGAGGGACACATGAGAGGCAACCGTACATCGATATTCTCTCCCTCTCTCCTACCCTTCTTCTCTTCTTCCCTTCCCCTCTAAAGATCAATAAATAATTTAAAAATAAATAAATAAAATAAAAGTCCACTGGACAGCTGGAAGAACGGACCAGAGAGACACTGAGGCCAGGTAACAGACGATGGCTGCAGCCCCAGGGATGGAAGGAGCAGATGGATTTGAGAGGCTGAGAAGTAGAACACATTGCACCCAGTAGCTGCCTCACTGTGGGGAAGGCCAGGGGTTCCCTGTGGAGGATGCAGGGTCCACCTTGGCTGTGAGGGACACACAGAGAGGCCAGAAGCAAGCTGCCTCCCCTTAGCTCCACAGTCCCCCTCCAGGCTCACAGAAATGGGCAAATAAGCCCAGGACTTAGGGGACCAGGGGGCTGGGACCCCAGGTTCCCTCACTCAGCCCCCAAGGCAGGGCTATATCGTGGACAGAGCATGTGCTTTGTGACCAGACCTCATCCAGTGTCTGGCCACCTACAGATAGGCAGCTAGAGGCTACATAATTAATCTCCCTAAGATTAATTTTCTTCAAATGTGACCGTCTTTGACTTTTTATGAGGATCTCCCCAGACAATGCTTGCAACACAAGCTGCATTGGGGAGAGCATGAGTTCTGTGATCTGTTGCTGTCCAAATCTTGGCCAACACGTACTGAACTACCATTTATCAAGCAATTTTGCACAGGACACAAAACAAGGTCAGGTATACAGTTCAGCGCCCAAAGGGAGGAGGGTGGGGGTGGAGCGGCAGTGAGTATTGAAGAGGAGTTGCTTTCCTCCACCGAGCAGCCCCCGGCTGACACTCAGCCCTGGGCAGTTCCTCCTGCACACAGGCTCTGAACACCACCGTGGCTCAGAGCAGCCGGGCCAGAAGTACAGCAGCCCCCCATTATCCGCGGGGTGTCTGTTCCATGGCCTCTGTGGATGCCCAGAACCGCCAATGATGCTGAACCCTATATACACTGAGTTTTCCTGTGCATACCTATAATCAAGTTTAATTTATAAATTAGGCACAATAAAAGATTAACAGTGACAATGAATTATAAAATACAACAATTATAACAATATATTGTAATAAAAGTTTCATGAATGTGGTCTTTCAAAATCTTATTGTACTGTATTCACCTTTTCATGTAAAAATAAAGCACTTTACAGTTTCTCTTTGGCATGTCCGAATTGCTGGCACCACTGCTCTTGTGCTTTGGGGCTATTGTTAAGTAAACAAGGGTGACTCGACTACGAGCTCCGGGATGCCGACAGCCCATCGAGTAACCAAGACTGCTACCATGTGGCTAATGGGGCGGTGATGTGCGCAAAGGGATGCTTCACATCTTGGGTAGAGTGGAGCTGAACTCGAGAGATGTCATCGTGCTACGCAGAATGTTCCACAATTGTTCATTACTGCAATGTTTCATTTAATACTTTTAGATCACGCTTTACCTTGGATAACTACTATCAAAAGCAAAACCTCAGATTAGGGAAAGCCACTGTATCTCTTAGACAGCAGGCAGACGCAGGCTAGAATGGGCAGCCCAGTGCACCGAGTATCGATGGGGGATCCCTGGAGCAGGAAAGTGCACCCGGACATAGAGAGTGAGAGGCGCCAGCAGTCCTTCGATGTAGAAAGACTCACCAACATCCTGGACGGCGGTGCCCAGAACACGGACCTCCGGAGGAAAGTCGGTAAGAGGAGAATGGGGGAAAGGGCGTCTGCCTCCTTTAAATAGCAAGGTTTATTCTCAAAATTCGGCTGTAACAGACTCATTTCTCTGAACTCTCAGGCATCTTTAACATGCCAATATTAAGCCCATCTGAGGGATAGAGGAGTCCTGGGCAGCAGATGACCAAACCAGGATGTCGGTGTTTGTCCGCCCACTGCATAGCTCAGTAAACCTTGGACAAGTCTCTTTCCCAGCTCTGGGCCTCAGTCATCTCATCTGTCAAATGACAGTAGTATGACTTGCTTTCCACAACCATGAGGCAAGTGGGTGGAAAAATTTGAAGGTAACAAGAACCTCACTCAGGTCCCTGAGCGTACTGTTGTCTATTCCTGGCAGAGAGCATTATCCACAGTGACCCAGTGTTTAATCTGAAGGATAACTATTTCATGAACCGGTATGAGCGTTACGAAGCAGCCGTTAAGAGGACATTCCACATCCAGATGATAGTACAGCGCCTGGGCTGGTTGGAACAGAGTCGTGAACTTCATTATGCTATAAGGTGCTCACTCCAAGGGCAGCCCCACCAGAGAGGAATTCACCCGGGATTACTCAGAGCCCCCAACCCCATGAGCTATCTTCCCCAACAAAGGCAGTACTTATTGGGAAAGCAGGACATGAGGTGCCCCTCCCCTCGTGCACCCTGCTTGGGTGGGCTGCTCAACCTGAGACTGTTGAGACCCTGAGACCCTGGCTCTGATGGGCTGCTCAACCACAGCACCTTTCCCCCACAGAGCCGTTTCTGGAAACTTGGGCTTAAGTATACAATACATCTTCCTGAAAGCCGTCAGGAGCCTGGGCTCGGAGGAGCAGATAGCCAAATGGGCCCCGCTCAGCCACACGTTCCAGATCATCCCAACATACGCCCAGACGGAACTGGGACACGGTAAGCCAGAGCTGCTGCCTGTGGCGCACGATGCCGGGGCCCATTCAGGTCTCAGTTGTCACAGATTAGTATGTTGAATGTGGAAACGTTAGTGCAGATGGCAGACAAGGGTCTGGAGGAAGGGGTGGTGTCCTTTTCTAATTCATACAAACAATGTATGAGCTCACGGTGGGACAAGTCTTTCCTTCTGGAAAAGTCAGCAACCATTCCTGGTCTCCCACGCAGCCCACGGGTAAAAGGAGAGCAATCCCTTTTAGTACAGCTGTGAGGTACCCCGAGTGACACTGGGCTGCAGCCTGAGAGTTCCAAGCCCTCCTGGACACTGCTCCCCAGGTGAGAATCCCACCCTGGCCTGATATCTAACTCCCCTCCTTAATTCCAAGGGACGTATCTTCAGGGACTGGAGACTGAAGCCACCTACAGTGCAGACACCCAGGAGTTTGTGGTGCATAGCCCCACAATAACTGCCACCAAATGGTGGCCGGGCGACCGTGAGTACCCATTTATCACCCAGCCCCATCTGTCCCCAAGGAGAACAAAGCAGGATGGCAGAGCATCACTGACTGATGTTCGACAGACCTCAGATTGATTCCTTGCTCTAGGTTAGTGACCTTGGACAAGTCAATTAACCTCTCTGAGCCGCAGGTTCTTAGTCTGTAAAATAGGTAGGCTATGAAGAATTTTATCAGTGAGTGGCTGAGAGGCCCCAAGGGAACTTCGAAGTAGCTGAGGAAATTGACCCAACCTTTGAGGGGTGAGGGCCAAAGCCCCTCTCACACACACTGCCCCCCACACCGACATGGCCTATCCCCTGGCACTCCCCACAATCCCAGTTCCTCTCATCTCCCAAAGCTGCCACCACACAGAGCACAGGGCGCCAGGGTTAGAGTGGGAAAGACATCCCTCCCAGCCCCTGCTCCTGCCCCACCACTGGTGCCAATCAGGCTAACAGCACTGCACCTCCTGTGGCCGCCAGGTGGCGTCTGTGCCATGCTGCTCCGTGCTTCTCTGAGGCTCGGTGATGGCCAAGTCCCAAGGAAGCAGGCTCATGGAGGGCCTCTGCCTCCAATTTGAGAATAATACACCTCCGAGGACACATCTGTGGCACTTGGGGACCCATTGATGAACACTTACATGGCAAAAAATATATACAATGAATCAAGGAGTCCAAATAAAAAGCAAAGAGAGATGGAGAGGTGAGAGACTAACAGAGGGAAAAAAAGGCAGAGAGCCGAGAGAAACACAAGACCAGCGAGAGGGGACAGAGAGGGAGGAGAGGGGAGAGAGAGGACGGAAAAGGAGAGAGAGAGAGAAGGGGGAATGAGAATGAGTGCTGTCAAAACTGCAGAAAAAAGTAACCAGCCTTTGAAATCAGGCAGAGTTTAAACTCCAGCTCTGCCTGCTCCAGGCCAATAACCTTGAGTTGTCGCTCAGATCTATGGGCCTCGGTTTCCTTATTTGGAAATTGGGACTCACCACCCTGTCCTGTAAGAACTGGAAAGCACCAGCACAGGGTCTGGCACCACCTGGAGTTTGATAAATGGTAATTATCTGTATTTATTATAATCAGGTTGATGTTAGAGTCGCTTGTTAACAGTTTTTTGAGAACAGAGAAAACAAAAACTTGCTTATTTCAGTGCCTTAAGCAAGTCGCTGCTAGATTTATTTGGCTCTCTGCGGGGTAGTTCTTCCCCTCGTGGGTGGGGGCAGTGGCGAGCGCATCTCCCTGTGACACAGGACCCCTGTTCATGCCATGAATCCTCACATACATACCCCAGCAGCTCTGACATCAAGGTCCTGTCTCCTTGATGCCAAAGAAAGTGACTCGAGGGCACACACACTTCAGTCAGAAGACTGTTGTAGACAGTCGTCGTTCGGTAGAACCAAACTTTAATAGGAGACAAGACTTCCCAGACTGTTGCATTTGGGCTCCTAGCTTTTCTCAGGCTTTCAATTCAGAAGGAGCACCCAAAGGGTTCCGACAGCTTTGATCCCCTCAGTGTCTCCATCAGCCTCCTCGAGCTTCCCCGCCCCATGGGAGCCCTGCCTATGTCACTGCAGGGTGCTTGCTACACAAATCTGACATAGACACGAGCCCCTACACCACCTGCCGCCCTACGGCTCTTCGTAAATCTCTCCAACCCAGTGTATTCTACAATCAGACACTCATATTACAGCTCTTTGGGTGGTTTCAGACATTTCCAAGAATAAGTCAAGGCCATGTGAGTTGAGGGAAACCCTGAATGAGCATCCCTTTGTGTCCTGGATGCTACCTCCTCCGCAGGCCAGCCCCAACCAGCCCACCCAGTCCTCAAGCTTCTGATCATGTTGTTCGCTCTGCCTTCACACCCTTCCCCATGTGACACCCGTGAGAACACCCCTCACCCTCAGAGCTCCTTGCGATCCTCTCCTGACCCACACTCTCTGAGGCGGATGAAACCACCTCCCCACTGGGCCTCACAAAGCACCCCGCCCTTCCCCATGCCACCGCACTGGTCTTCCTCACCCACTACAGACCAGTTCACATCCAGGCTTCTGATGGAGAGGGTTAGCCTGTCTGCTCTGTGCACCAGGGTCTCACAGACCAGGGATCACACTCAGCCTCTCACCTCTGCCTTCAGTGGGACGGTCAGCCACCCACGCCCTGGTCCAGGCCCAGCTGATCTGCTCAGGAGCCCGGCGGGGCATGCATGCCTTTATTGTGCCCATCCGGAGCCTCCAGGACCACACTCCACTGCCAGGTAAGCCCTGCTGCCCCCTCCGTGACTTCAGCCAGAAGGAGATCTTCTACCAGCTCTCACTGTCTAGGGGCTTTAGATGTCCATGGAAAAAGCTGGGGCGTGTCGACCTGGGGCAGGGAGGGGTCTAGTTGGACTGCCTGGTCCTAACTAGATGGGTGACCTTGAGCAAGATTCTGCATGTCTGTCCTCAGCTTGATGAGTGTCACAATAACACCTCAGTGTCACAGGCTGCTGTGAGGCTCAGGAGCTACAGTGTGTGAGTGTGTGAGTGTGAGTGTGTGTGTGCGTGGTGGCGTGGTGCCCGGCACACAGCAAGCACTCAACTGACCAACTCCATATCCTTCCTAGGAGTCACTGTTGGAAGCATTGGGCCCACGATGGACTTTAACAGGAGGGATAATGGCTTCCTGCGGCTGGACCATGTGCGGATCCCCAGAGAAAATATGCTGAATCGCTTTGCACAGGTAGGTATCTAGGGAGTCTGCAGGCCTGCACTGCCTGGAGAGGGGACGACAGCCCCCTGCGGGCTGCTGCTGGCTCTGGACTCTCCTGCATAGGGCTGAGTTGGGGCACTTCTCCCCCACAGGCTCTGGTGTCCCACAGACCTGTAAAACCCCAACTTAGGAGCTGTGATCTTGGGCAAGTCTCTTGGCCCCCTGAGCCTCAGAGTTCTCGTGGGTAAACGCTCGCCTCCTTCGGAGGCAGGGCAACCCTGGCGTGGGTGGCAAGGCAGTCTGAAGAGACGACAGATGGGGCTGAGGATGACATGCACGTTTACCAAGTGAGGCCTGGACACAATCGGTCACTTGAATAGTCATCAGCCAGGTGCTAGAGAAAGTTCTAGAGATCCACATTTTGCCAGGTAATACCTTCAGCTATGGACTACTGAAAGGTCCTGGGTATCTCAGGACAGGAGCTGCAAAGCAGGACACTTGAGCCAGTGGCTTTTTAGCAAAATGCACAGATGTCTCACTTTTAACAATCAGCGTGGCCATAAGAGCACATTTTGGTGACAGCTGGCTGTGTCTGCTCTGGTTAAACAGAAGACTGTGTCTGCTCTGGGTAAACAGTTTGAGGACTGTGGTTCCTGTAGGACATGGGGGCCCTGTTCAGGGTGCAAGGCAGGCGGGGGAGCCTCGGCTCAGACCCAGCACCTGTTCTTGGTCTACCAGGTCTTGCCAGATGGCACCTACGTCAAGCTCGGGACAGCACAGAGCAACTACCTTTCCATGGTGGTGTCGCGGGTGGAGCTGCTGTTGCCAGAGATCATACCCCAGCTGCAGAAGGCTTGCGTCATCGCCATTCGCTATTCTGTCATCCGCCGCCAATCTCAGCTCCGGCCCAGGCAAGGCACACCCAGAGGCTGACCAGTGCAGACAAGGTTACATCTCTGTCCCATGGTGCCTGGCCCTGACAAGGTCCCCTCCACCAGAGCAGGGTGCTGGGAGCAAGCGTTACCCCTCAATGCCTACACATCTACCCAGACCTGGCCCCTAACTCTGGCTGGCTGATCAGCTGGCCTGACCTGTGTCTGCGTCTGGCCCCATCAGACTGTGTGACTGTGTGTCCTTGGCCCTGCACCACCAGACCTGACTCAGTCTGAACCCAACAAGGTCCTTTACAGCTGTGTCTGCATCAGCTGGTGCCCAAGCTGCAGGTGACTGTGGCTCCTAAATTTGTTCTATCACAGGGTATGAGTAATAGTGTCTGGCAAAGCCCAACTGTCACATCAGACTCCACAGCCTGAAGTTGGTTCTGTCTGGCTGGGAACGTCAACATTTGACTGTGGTATGTCCAAGTCTGGGTCCATTTTTTCACACATGGATGGCTGTGTAGGGTTGACACTGCCTTTACTCTGTGGCACCAAGCAACAAAGAATGTATTTTCTGTTTTCACACACGCACACATAGTTGGCCAGATTCGGCAAATGAAAATACAGGACTACCGGTTAAATCTGGATTTCAGGTAAATAACACATCATTTTATAGAATAAATATGTTCCAAATAAACACACCCAGAATGCAGCAGAATGCAGCCCGGGCATATGGTGCCACAGGGGGAGGAGAGAGAGATGAGCTGGGCACAGCAAACTGACTGAACCCGTGGTGCTGAAGGACCAACTTCAACTTGGCAGCTCCTATCCCAACTCTGCTAAGTGAGCCTGGGCAAGTCCTTTGCCCTCTCTGGGTCCCAGTTTTTCCACTTGCAGAGTGAAAAGTGACATCACCAGGACTGAAACTTGAAACCATCCAGCTCCAGAGTCTGGTGGGGTTTCATGCTATGGGCTCAAGGATCCAGGAGTCTGATGCAAAACGGGTTGAGGGTCAGATGCCAGACACCCCTGGGGGCCACGTGGAGTTCAGCCACCTGCTAGTTGTGGGAGCTTAGGCTAGCCATCCTACCTTTGTTTCTCAGCTTCCTCATCTACAAAAGAGGGAATGACAGACACAGTCCTTCGGGGTGGTGCTGAGAGTAAAATGCAGTAAAGCACGCCTGCTACATAGCCCAGGGTCCTTTCCCCTGGCAAACCCAAGGCATCCTTGCCACCCTAGGCCTCAAAATGCTGGGCTGAAGGTGTCTGCTCTGGAGAACAGGGACGCTGGGAAGAAGGGGCCGCTGGTGATATCCTGTCTGGAGCCCAGTTTCCTGGGTTACAGAAATATCCCAGCTGCTGGCCTGCAGAAAAGATTCCAGGTTTCTCCCCATCAGTCATGGGAGACTTCTCACTATCAAGTCTTTTCTCAACCCACAAATATTTACCACATATCCTACATGCTGGACAGTCCCAGGCCCAGAGGACGCAACAATGGGCAAGGCAGACGCAGTCCTTACCTTGGGACTCTATCAGACTCGAGTTCATATCCTCAGAGTTAGTGATTAGGCACAACATATTTCCCAGAACCCAGTGAGTACACCTGGGTGGTAAAAGGTCGAGGTTCACATCATCAGGAGTACAGAGCCACAACCCGTCACCCAAGATCCTTGGGACCAGATGTATTAGAATTCACAACTTTCCAGATTTTGGCAGGATGACATGATGCATATGCTATAATTTTGTAAACTTCACCCACAAGTGGCAGCGCCCATAAGCAAATGTCGATGTTTCTGCAGTAAAATGAGTGGATAGTCATGTTAGGTGGGATTTTAAAAGGTTATTACTAGCCTCATGTCATTTCAGGTCAAGTTTTGTAGTGAGATATAGAAATGGTCCATTTCGAAGGCTTTATGAGGGTGAATATGGCACATGCAATCTTCCCAAGCTTCCACTTTTCTTGTCCTCAGCGAACCAGAAGCTAAAGTCCTAGACTATCAGACGCAGCAGCAGAAACTCTTTCCTCAGCTGGCCACAGCCTACGCTTTCCAATTTGTGGTGAACAGCCTCTTGGATTTCTTTCAAAGGTCCTACGGAGCCATTCTGGACAAAGACTTCAGCCATCTGCCTGAGGTACCTGCTGTCTGCTGGTGGGCAGGAGCTAGGGTAGCTGAGACCGTTCTCTTTGGTTCCACTCCCATGGGCCCCTTCCACTGTCTCCTTCCTCAGCCTTCCAACATCCTGGGGCACCCAGGGGGAACTGTACCCCAACACAGAAATCCATCCCCATCTGGCCCCCAGAAAGCTCCAGAAGTGTTAGAGGAAATAATCACACATAGTATATAGAACACAAATGCACAAGCCCTGATGCACATTTGAAACCCAAAAAGCTCTGAAAACAGAGCTGTTTAGAGCTCATTTGGTGGCATGGTTTGACCTGAACTGACCTGATTTATCCCACAGAGTGTGAATACGTTTTGCAGCAAAAATATTAATGTGTGTGATCACTAAGGCTCCTCAGACTCCTCAGGGTTATTATATACGGTCAACCTTAAGTGTCCTACTTTACTTTTCTAAAATTCAAAAAATTATTCTGATTCTAAAACACATCTGTCCCCAAGGTTTCCTATGAAGGACTGTGGCCTTGCGTATCCACTAAGGCTCGGTCTGTGCAGGCCCTTGTAAGCATCGCTTCACTAACCCTTACTGGTCGGCAGGTGCCATTCGAGTCAGGTTTACAGATGAGGAAAGTGAAGTGCAGGGAGGTTAAGGGACACGAACTTCCTCCCAAGGACTTTAAAAGTCTGAAGATAGTTAGGAACTTTTAAAAACCAGAAACTCAAGCCAGGTCAGCTGCTTGGCAGCTCTCCCTACAACCCAGTGGGTTGATGGTGGACTTCCATCCTCACACACCAGCTCCCCAACTTCTCTGCCTGCCATCCAAGTCCATAACTCCTGGGTGGTGGCAAGCCCTACCGGGGAAGCATGCATTCCAGAATCCTGGAGACACTGGCCTGGAGGGTTGTCCTTTGATCTTATTGACCTTATGGCTACATGGCCTCATTGTGTGACCCTGGGAAAGTCACATAACTTCTCTGAAACTCAGCCTTCTCATTTACAAAGTTATGAACTGAGGAAACAATTCGTACCTCAGCACACAGTAGGCATTCAATAAGTGGGAAGCATGGGTGTTCACTGGAGGACCCCCTTACACCACTTGACCCCCTTCCGGTTCTTGCAGCTTCATGCATTGAGCTCAGGTATAAAGGCCATGATAACAGACTTCTGCACCCAGGGGGCTGAGCTGTGTCGCAGGGCCTGCGGTGGACATGGCTTCTCAGAGCTGAGTGGCCTGCCGGCCCTGGTCATGGCAGTGACAGCCTCCTGTACCTATGAGGGTGAAAACACCGTGCTCTACTTGCAGACAGCCAGGTAAGGCTGAGGCTGGCCTGGGCCTCTTCTGCCTGGCCCTGGAAGGCTGGGTTTGGGTTGAAGTATTCATCTGGTGTCCACAGAGGAAGCAGATCTGGGGAGTGTGGCTTCGGGACTGTCCAACTCCCGTAATACGTCTCCAAACCATCCACTTCTCTCTCCACTTCATCCCCAACTCCTGGCTGTAGCTCCCAGCCAGGCCCTGAGCTCCATCCCCTGGACAACAGCAACAGCCTCCTCGCTGATGATTCCGCCCACTTCTGTCCTTTCTCTACAGGCAGCCAGGGGGGGTCATTTTGAAGCTCAGAGAATATCACATCTTTCCCTTGCTTAAAATTCTTCAATGGGATCTCACTGTTCATAGGAAAATGCCACACTCTACACTGTGGCCTCAGGTCCCATAACCTGACCCCTACCTCCCTCTCCATCCTAGTCTTGCAGCCTCCTGCCTCTGCTCACTGTGCCAGCCACACACCTCTGCTTCCCACCACGGTGCCTTCACACTCCTTCCCTCTCCTTAAAATTCTCTGCCCCCAGTTTACTGGCACTTTCTCATTCTCCAGGTCTCAGCTAAAATGATACCTCCCTCAGAGTCCTCCCTAACCACTGCATCTCGAGCAGCACCACCCGACCCTCCCGGTCAGCACTGTCCTGTTGCCTTGGGAGAGTTAGCACAATCTGAACGTGCCTCTCTGTGGCTGGCAGCTCTTCTCCAGGCTGGGTGCAGGGCCTGCACACAGGTTCCCACTGCACAGGCAGGCAGGAAGGGCCCAGTAGGCCTCCTCCCGACAGGCAGCTTCTTCCATCTCTTTCTGGCCAGGGGTCTCTGGTCTTCTGGCTGACAGAGCTGTTTCAGGTTCACCTATTCTCAGGTGACTAAACATGGCAAGTAATTCTCCATGCAGGAAAGTAGTTTATTTGCTCACTGGCAAATAAACTGTATAACACTTCTTGAATCTTTTTTGACATAATATTTATTGAGTTTTTTTCCAAATTCAAAAAGAGTACAGTACCACATATTAAGACACTCCCTGCCGCACGCTGTGCCAGGCACTTTCAGGTGAGCACCATCATCCCCACCCAGAGACAGACGCACCGAGGTCTCAGCGGAGCTGCTGGGAAATCTCGGCTGTCTGAGCCCAGAGCCTGTGACCACTGGATTATCAACCAGAAGAAGCTGAGAGTCACCTGTAATCCTCCCAACTCATGTCAGCATTCTCACATCTATCCTTCATTTAACTAAGAAAAATTTAATTGCCACCGTCACTGTATAATTCAAAAAAATCCCCAAACCGCAAGATCCTAACCAACAGAAAGAATTCTGTTGGCTCAGATATTGAAATGGTTTATGTTCAGGATCTGAGCATCTGCCCAGCTCCATGGCTCCAGAACCACCCATTTCCTTGTGAAACCCCAGACTCCAGCCTCGGGGCAAACCTCCCTGAAATCCTCATAGCAGGCTGGTTGGATTGTGGTGGGGGCCAGGGGACCTTGTTTGAAGGGAAAGGTAAGCATCAAGGGGGACTAGGCAAGAACCTCTGTGGCTCTGGACCTGCCACAGGGGATCAGAGTGCATGTGTCTGGGAGAGAGAGGGGCTGGGCTGTCTGAAAGTGCTGCTTACCCTCAGCTGCCTCTGCTCCCGCTGCTAGGTTTCTGGTGAAGAGCTACCTGCAGGCTCAGGCAGCCCCAGGCTCCACACTCCCTCAGTCTGTTGCATACCTGACAGCACCTGACCTGGCCAAGTGCCCAGCCCGGAGGGCAGCTGACTTCCTTCACCCAGAGGTGTACACCAGGGCGTGGGCACATGTGGCAGTCAGGTAAGCCATCTGAGAAATGAGCCATCCCACCTGAGGGCCTTTGGGATTGGGTGGGTACTACTGGATACTCTTCTGAAAACCACCCCCTTCCCCAGCTTCCTCAGTCCTCTCAGCTCCCACCGCCATGAGCAGAGAGGAGGGGAGGTCGCCCCCTTGAGCCACGCCATGGACCACCGCCCCCTCCCCATCCTGGTCAAGCTGGTAGAAGTGCAAGTATCTTTTTAAATCTTTAGGTTCTTACTGATTTGCAATACAAAGAATATACCCATATGTAAACATCCCCAGTAAATACAGCAATACTCCTATGTTTGAAATAACCCCCAATCTAAAAAGTTTTTTAAAAGATGACTATATCAAGGGATAGAATGTTTACTTCTAGCATCTAGCAGACTCCAAGGAACAAGAATAAGACCAAGAGCTCGTCTATTGTGTCACTCAACAAACACTGTCAGGCACATGTCAGAAGTGGTGAAACATGCCAGGGGCTGGGAACGAAGAGAAGCCCTGGCCCAGTGCAGGCACCGTCAGGAAAATATGGAGATTTAACTACCTATAAGGAAAAGCTTCTAAACTATCCTCACCTAAAACACCAAGAACGACCTGGAAATATATTTCCAGTATATAATAAGAAGTGTTATATCCCAACCTGTGGTCCCAGAATGGTAGTTTTCTCAAGGTCACAAGCAAATTGGGACACTATTTATTCCGCAAATATAAATATTACAGTAATATTAATATTAATATTAATATTTATATTATTTATATTATAATATTTATATTATATTTATATTACAGGTCTTTGTTCTTGGCACTAAAGACCGCTCAGTAAGCCAGTCTGATAAAAATCCCAGGCCTCATAGAGCTAAGGTTTTAGTTGGGGGAGGCGGGGAGGGTAAAATAAGAATGTTACGGGTAATTGAATTAATTAAATGCCCTAATGTTGCTTTTTGCTTGGATCTCAGTGTGACATCTGCTTACCTCTTCCCTGAAAAAGTAAAATAAATATTGCTTAATAGACAGTTTGTGACTTCCAGCCAAGATGGAGGTGTAGGTAGATATACCTGTGCCTCCTCACACAATCAAAAAAAGGACTGCAAATTAAAAAAAAAAAAACAACCTGAACTAACAGAAAATTGAACTGTGTGGAAGTCTGACAACCAAAGAGTTAAAGAAGACACATTCACCCAAACCGGTAGGAGGGGCGGAAAGGACTCCCAGCAAGGCTGTGACTGGAGGACATGAGTGGGCAAGGCGGCAGCTGACAGACGGAGGAAGGCTTTGGATTGTGGAGGGGTGTGGCGCACACGGAGGCTGGAGGCCAGGTGGTCCTGGTGGTACCACATTTGCAAGCACATAAAATACGTGAAACTGGGGAGAAGGATGAACTGCAAAACCCAGTGTCCCAGCACAGAGAAATAAAGCCTCAAAACACCGATCGAAAACACCTGTGGGGGTTGAGGTTCCGGGAGAAACTCCCAGCCTCACTGGAGAGTTTGTTGGAGAGGCCCACGGGGTCCCAGGACATACACAAACCCACCCACATGGGAATCAGCACCAGAAGGACTCAATTTGCTTGTGGAAAGCCTGGGAAGTGACTGAAATCCAGCAGAGTGTGGAGCAAGCGCCACTGTTCCCTCTCAGACCCCTCCCCCACATACAGTGTCACAATGCAGCAACATGGGTTGCCCTGCCCTGGTGAACACCTAAGGCTCTGCCCCTCAATATGTAACAGGCACATCAATACAAAAAAAAAAAAAAAGGCCCAAATGAAAGAATAGATCCAAGCTCCAGAAAAAAATACAACTAAGCGACGAAGAGACAGTCAAACTATGAGATGCACAGTTCAAAGCACTGGTGATCAGGATGCTCACAGAATTGGTTGAATTTGGTCACAAATTAGATGAAAAAAATAAAGGCTACACTAAGTGAAATAAAAGAAAATATACAGCGAACCAAGAGTGATGGAAAGGAAACTGAAACTCAAATCAAGACAGTGGACCAGAAGGAAGAAAAAAATAACCAAACAGAAAAGAATGAAGAAACAAGAATTCAAAAAAATGAGGAGGCCCTTAGGAACCTCCAGAACATCTTTAAACGCTCCAACATTCAAATTATAGGGGTACCAGAAGGGTTAAAGGTACAGCCACCAGTGGAAAACTTATTTGAACAAATAATAAAGGAGAACTTGCCCAATCTGGCAAAGGAAATAGACTTCCAGGAAGTCCAGGAAGCTCAGAGAGTCCCAAAGAAGTTGGACCCAAGAAGGAACACACCAAGGCACATCATCATTACATTAGCCAAGATTAAAATGAAGGAGAGAATCCTAGAAGCAGCAAGAGATAAGGGGACAGTCACCTACAAAGGAGTTCCCATCAGACTGTCAGCTGATTTCTCAAAAGAGACCTTACAGGCAAGAAGGGGCTGGAAAGAAGTATTCCAAGTCATGAAATCCAAAGACCTACAACCAAGATTGCTCTATCCAGCAAAGCTTTCATTTAGAATGGAAGGGCAGATAAAGCACTTCTCAGATAAGGTCAAGTTCAAGGAGTTCATCATCACCAAGCCCTTATTATATGAAATGTTAAAGGGACTTATCTATGAAAAAGGAGTTAAAAAATATGAACAGTGAAAGGAAAGCAAACTCACAGTTATAACAACCACACCTAAAACAAAAACAAACTAAGCAGACAGCTAGACCAGGAGCCAAGACACAGAAATGGAGATCACACGGAGGGTTAGCAACAGGGGAGTGGGAGGAGGAGAAGGGGGGAGAAGGTACAGAGAGTAAGTAGCATAGGCAGTGGGGAGAAAATAGACAGGGGGAAGGGCAAGAATCATATGGGAAATGTAGAGGCTAAAGAACTTATGACACATGGACATGAACTAAATGGGGGAGTGAGGGGGAGGGGGTGTGCAGGGTGGAGGGAAGTAAAGGGGGAAAAATGGGACAACTGTAATAGCATAATCAATAAAATATATTTTTAAAAAAGAAAAAAGAAAGAACAGATCAAAGCTCCAGAAAAAATACAACTAAGCAATGAAGAGATAGCTAACCTATCAGATGCACCATTCAAAACACTGGTAATCGGGGTGCTCACAGAAATAGTTGAGTATGAATACAAAAATAGAAGAAAAAGTGAAGGCTATGCAAAGTGAAATAAAGGAAAATGTACAGGGAGTCAAAAGTGACAGGAAGAAAACCAGGACTCAGATCAATGACTTACAGCAGAAGGGAGAAATAAACATTAAACCAGAACAGAAGGAAGAAACAAGAATTCAAAAAAATGAGGAGAGGCTTAGAATCCTCCAGGACGACTTTAAACATTACAACATCCGAATCATAGAGGTGCCAGAAGGAGAAGAGGAAGAGGAAGAAATGAAAAACTTACTTGAAAAAATAATGAAGAACTTCCCTAATCTGGACAAGGAAATAGACTTCCAGGAAGTCCAAGAAACTCATCGAGAGTCCCAAAGAAGTTGGACCCAAGAAAGCACACACCAAGGCACATCATCATTACATGACCCAAGGTTAAAGATAAGGAGAGAATCTTAAAAGCAGCAAGAGAAAAGGAGACAGTTATCTACAAAGGAGTTCCCATAAGACTGTCAGCTGCTTTCCCAAAAGAAACCTTGCAGGCAAGAAGGGGATGAAAAGAAGTATTCCAAGTCATGAAAGACAAGGTCCTACATCCAAGGTTACTCTATCCAGCAAAGCTCTCATTTAGAATGGAAGGGCAGATAAAGTGCTTCCCAGATAAGCTCAAGTTAAAGGAATTCATCATTACCAAGCCCTTATATAAAATGTTAAAGGGACTTATCTAAGAAAAAGACAAAAATATGATCAGTAAGATGACTACAAACTCACAATTATTAACAACTGAGCCAAAAAAAAACCCAAACTAAGCAAACAACTAAAACAAAAACAGAATGACAGAAATGGAGATCACGTGGAGGGTTATCAGCGGGGACAGGGAGGAGGGAGAATGAGGGAAAAGGTACAGGGAATAAGAAGCATAAATGGTAGGTACAAAATAAGACAGGGAGAGGTTAAGAATATTATGGGAAATGGAGAAGCCAAAGAACTTACATGTACAACCCATGGACAGGAACTAAGGGGAGAGAGGATGCAGGCGGGACAGGGTGTGTAGGGTGGAGGAAAATAAAGGGGGAGAAATGGGACAGTTATATTAGCATAATCAATTAAATATATTTAAGTAAGAATAAAAAAATAAAAAATAGCCAGTTTGCCTACAAATTCCAAGGATCATGAGTAGATGGGCAAGGAACAGAGAATAAAAGAGTAAAGGTTAAGTAAATGGCAAAGGACCAATTTTGTAGTCTGGAAGACAAGGATTACTTTCCTTTTATTCTGAGGTCCCTTAGGTAGAACTGGGAGCCCACAAGGTGACTGAAGGCCTCATTAGTCTTTAGTGAAAAGCCATTCTCCTTGCTCAGCCCCAGGACATCAGTCAGCAGAATGGCCTGAAAACACAGCATGGAGTCTGCATCAGAAAGGGGCAGCAGTGCCTAACCTGGAGCCCTGAGGCTCTACAGCTCTGAGGTTATGAACTCCCATTTCTTAGTAGCTGTGAGACCCTGCCCCAGTGAATTAACCTCTTCTGGGGTGCAGCTTTCCCCACTGTAACTGGGAATGCTGGCCCTGAAAAGAGTTTTTAAAGTGATAATATATATCAAGCATTTAGCTTTGTATAAGTGGTTAATAAATGGGAATTATTTCTACTTCTGAGGGACCAAACACCATCAGTCTCTTTCCCACTCAGTCAAAAAGCTGAACTTTTTTTTCTTTGGCCTTCAGGCTCATAAAGGACTCAGTGCACCATTTACAGACTCTGCTGCAATCTGGTGCTGACGAGCACGAGGCGTGGAACAGGACCACAGTCATACACCTCCAGGCTGCTAAGGTGAGCTGCCTGCCAGCTCAAGCTGAAAGGGACGGGTTTTTTCCCCAGCAAACTAGAAAATCTGAGCTCTGCCTTTACTCTCCAGTCCTGCTCAGCTGCTGCCCTCATTTCACTTCCAAGACTTTAGTCCAAGGTATTTTAATTAAAGGATTTAACTCCAAAGCAATCTTGCTGGCAGCTCTTAGGAAAAAATGTAATGAGGCAGTGTTATTTGGATTTGCTTCAGGTTGTTCAAATATTTCCTCCCAGATAGAAAAGCAGGTCAAGTGTCCTTGTTAGTCCCACAGGCAATCCTTAGAAGTCTGATTCAATTTTCAGTATGTTTTGTGTGTATGCATAATCCATAGTCAGCCAGCAAATATTTGAGCGCACACTAAACACTAGACATGGGGCTGGGTCCTGGGGGCTCACAGTGCCCAATGGCAGCAGCACTCAGGGAAGCACCGTGACAGGGAAATGCAGGCTGACACAGGACCCAGGGCAGGTGCGTCTACCCATCCTGCAGAGTCAGAAAGTCTTCCCAGAGGAGGCATATTAGCCAAGTCTTCAAGGATGAGCCGAAATCAGCCAGGCAACAGGTGCAGGTTGTGGCTTTGGAGAGGAAGGTTTCTGGGCAAAGGGAACAGTAGGTGCAAAAGGAGGAGGCAAGAAAAGGTGTGGTGCTCAGGTGCAAGTGCAAATCCTTCCCAGGAGGGGCTAAAGGAAGAAGACGGAAATGGGGAGAGGAAGGATGAAGAAAGACGGGTTAGGCCTGGGACCTTCTGCAATTGTGGGTTTTATTTTAATGATGATGGGAAGCCTTTGTGGAGAGTGTATAGGGTGAACTGATCAGTTTCTTTCTAGAAGGATCATTCAGGTTGCAGGGGAGGAGTGGACTGAAGGCTAGAGGCTAGTTTCAAGAGGGTAGTAGCAGTCTGGGTGAGGGCTGGGAGTGGGCCTGACCATGAACTTGTCAAAGGGCACAGAAAGAAGTGGGTAGATGCAGAGGTATTAAGGGGATAAAAGAAAATAAAAACGATTCCTGAGCTCCAGCTTAAGCAGCTAGAAAACCAAGGGGATCATTTCAATCATCAGGCATTGGGCCCCCAAAATGGCAGCTTTAAAAGAGGAGGGCTCTGAAGGAGTTTGCCTCGCCATCATGAGGCAGGGCTGGTCGGGCAGGCTGGACACGAATGCCACCTGGTGCCCTGCCATGTCCATCACATTAGCAGGTGCGGGTATTAACTCTGCCAACCTTGGTTCTACTCAGTCTACTGAAGGGGCACTTCCTGCTGTGCTAAATGTCCTATCAATACAAAAGGAGGGTGAGCCAAGACTGTGCTGTCACCAGATTATCAAGAAAGGAACCACAGCCTCCCATTACTCATCCATAGTCCAAACTTATGTCCTGCCTTCAAATAGACCAGACACTGTTTGCCAGGGTTACCTCACTGAATACACACAACCCTGGGAGACACAGTAGCATAATCTCTGTTTTAAGGACGAGGACGTAAAACTCAGGAAAGTTAGTCCCAGAGGTAGGAAATGGCTGAGTTAAGATGCTTTCCTTTCATTTCGCCCCAGGGATGCAAGCCATGCCCTTGCAGAGCCACTGTGCATTAGTGAGGGAAAGGAGTTCCCCTGACCCTGCTCTGGGGGACAAAGAGCAAGTCCCTGGGCCTCCTGGACAGGTGATGCCCAAAGTCTCCAAAGTCATAATGGACAGAGAAATCTGCACCTTCTGGACTTTGTGCTTCGGGAGGCCATCTACTCTACAGAAGCCTCAAGTCCCCAGCAGGGTCTCATCTGCAAACCATCAATGTACAGATAGGGAGAGACAGCAACACAAGAGAAACAGGGAACGGTGGCAGAGGGGTAGACAAGAATGAGCAGAGCGAGCCCAGGCCTAAGGTCTGGAGCTCTGTGACCTCAAAGAGTCCTTCCTTCTCGGGGCTTTCACTTTCCTGTCTGTTTAGCAAGGGGGCATGGAAGAGCCCTTTTAGGCCCTGATGGGCTCTGATCCTACAATCTCAGCCCCTGCCTACAAGAGATGTTAGCCTCTAGGAGCCCTGGAGCAAATGCAGCACTCAGTATAATCCAGCTTGTCCCTGGTGGCTTTGGCAACACAGGGCAACAGTTAACAGTACAGACTACACAGATATGTAAAGTACAACATAGGAAATGCAGTCAGTAATATGGTAATAACAATGTGTGGTGTCCAGTGGAAACTAGACTTATTGGGGTGATCATTTCATAAGGTATGTACATGTCTAATCACTATGTTATCCACCTGAAACTAATATCGAATGTCAACTGTAACTGGAAAATAAATTAACTTTTTTTCATAAAGTAGTACAGACTCTTAACCAGGAGGTGACTGCCCTGGTTTGGACCTCGTTGCTACCACTCACCAGCCATGGGACCTTGGGCAAGGAACATCTCTCCATGCCTCAGTCTCCTCACTTGCACAACAGAGCTAATAGTAGTATCTACCCTGTATTATGAAGATTAAATGAGTTAATGCATATAAAAATTTAGAAAAAAAAATTTAGAGAGATACCTAGTGTACAAATACTATACATCCACCCCACCCCCAAATTAGGCAGGAGGTAAGATTTAAATCAACACATACCGCAGTAAACAAAATTCATTGTGTTTAAGGTTTGACTCGGCCTTTTGCTGAAGTGTAGAGGCCACCTCCTCTCTCTGGTCCACATCCTGTTTCCGAGGGAGAGGCCTGGGCCCTCCTGTGGCTCTTCATCCCTCCATTCCTCAGCCTGAGGCCCTGAGACTTTAAGAACACAGCACTCAGGTCGTATCAGGGAAACAGAGCCTTAGGTGAAGAAACTGAGAGTCTCCAGTTTTGCCAAACTCTCCAGTTTGAGCACCAAAGGCTGTTGGGCCCAGCGGGGTCAGCAGAACACATCTGATCCTCTTCAAATATTCAAACACTGCAAACCCAGCATGGCTGTGAACACAAGCCGAGGTGGCAAACTGGTGTCGTTAGCACCCATGTGAAGCCTCTCTGGAAAATGCAGATGCTTTCCAAATGAAAAACCTGATCATATCTATGGTCTGTAAAAGATTGGTGGCTGCTGACCCTCACAGAATAAAACCCAACCTGTCATTCACAGGGGCTGTCATTCACGGCCCTTCATTACCTGGGTGCCTCTCATCATATTACACCCCAGTGCTTCAGTCTTGTTAAATTGCCTGCAGTCTCCTGAAAGGACTGCCCTTTGCACATGCAGTTCCCTCAGCCTGGAATGACCCATTCCTTGTTCCCTTGGGTAAACGCCTTTGAACCCTCATGATACTCTAAACCTACTGCTAAAAGTCATGACTAGCAGCATGAGCTTATTAGAATTATGCATTCTGTATCCTGGAATTTGCATTTTGACAAGATCCCCAGGTAATCCATAGACACATAAATATATGAGACCAGTTTTATATGCTCTCCTTACAGCTCTTGCCCCATGGAACTCATACCTCCTACCATTTGTCTTGGCAGAAAAGGGCAGGGGCACCAACCTATCACAAAGCTTTTCAGGCCTAAGGGAAGCAAAGTCCTGAGAGCCCCCTCTAGGTCAGGCATTAATGCTTTAGTTGTTGGACTGTGGGGAGGAGGGGGTCCCAGGGAAAGAGCCTGGCTGGCAGAGGAGGCTCTCACCTGGTTGAGGTCAGTGATCACTTACCAACTGGTTATTTTAGTTACTAACGGAGCCAGACTGTTGCATATGGGTTAAATAATGGCACTATCTCAAGGAGTTTACTCTGTAGTTGGGATACATTTCATGTACATCTAGAACCCCTCCTTTCTCACCCAAGGCACATGCATGCGTGCACATGCACGCATATCCCCCCGCCCGCCCACTGCATTGACCCACGAAGATGACTAACGGCTGCCTTCTTGAGAAAAGTGGTGCTGTTCTCCACTATCCCCAGGCCAGCCTCCAATTCTGGTGTATTATTTCTACTTTCAAACCTATTTGAAATTGCCCATAGCAAAATGAGAAAACTAGAGGCCAAGTTCCAGAGCTCATCAGCCCCCAACATGCACATGTGCGCCACACACACTATCAAAAGGGCTCAGTGAAGCCCATAGTGAGCTAGGAGCAAAGACAGTTGCTTGTCAGCCTGCTGGGAAACACATGGCCACAGCAGGCTCATTCCAGCAGTCACGCCAAGTTGCAGGATGACTTCTGGAGTCAGAAACCAGAACTTGAGAGGCTAATGCATCTTTGTTTCTTTGTAGGCACACTGCTACTATGTCACTGTGAAGAGTTTTACAGAAGCTCTGGAGAAACTAGACAATGAGCCAGCCATTCAGCAGGCACTCAAACACCTCTGTGATCTCTTTGCTTTACATGGCATCCTGTCTAACACAGGCGACTTTCTCCATGACGGCTTCCTGTCTGGGGCCCAAGTAGATGTGGTGAGAACGGCCTACCTGGACGTGCTCCTCCTTGTCCGGTGAGTGGCTGTCTCTCAAACGTAGTAGTCTTCAGAAAATAACCCTAGACCCTTTGTTCATTTCAAACTCGAAAACTTTCAGCTCCAAAACCTTGCTAAATGAAGTCTGGCAAAAGCAGCAACTGACATGGAGAGGTTTATACCTGAGCATTATTATACCAACATAAAGCATTACAAATTAATTTTTTAATTGGAAAAAAAATAAAAAGAAAACGACCATTTTATTTTTAAAAATAAAAATAAAACCAAGGATAAATTATCTAGCTACCTCAACTGAATGTTCTTCAATACTGTCAAGAAATAGGAATAATATCTAAGGAATATGAATAAAAATGAAGACTACTACATATGAATGATATGTATTAATGATAATGAGTCCTAATGATAGCTAATATTTAAGGAGCGCTTATGTATACCAGGCACTATGGGAAAAGCTTTCACATACATCACCTCATTGAATCCTTACAGCATTTTGAAGTGGATACTATTAACCTTCCCATTTTACTGGGGAGGAAATACAGGCTTAGTAGAGTTGAATACTTTGCCCAAGGTCACACAATTAGCCAGAGGAGGAGCCTGGTACAATCTGGGGCCTGTCTGACCCCAGAGCACAAGCTCTTAAGGCACACATCAAGGTTAAGGCTGGGCTATTGTCTATTTAAAATATATCCTTGTCTTTGTTCAATGTGCTTAAGCAAACCCTTACTAAGTTGACTAAACTTACTTTAATCCTCCCTTAGCTTCAAGATAAAAAATTTTTAAAACATAGTAATTCATATACCGATTCATAGAACAATAACACAAATGGCTTTTAAATGCAACACTAATGCGGTACAGTTTAGGGTCATGACATACTAATGCAATGATTTAAAAACATATCAAAAACAAAGCTCCAACCTAACCAGGGTAATAGAAAAAACAGAAATTAAAACAATAGAAATTAGTCACCATTGTCAATTAACGTGAAAGATGGGTAACTTGAGAACACCACCTTTTCTGAGGAAACACGATGTTTGTACTGACTGGGCAGAGGAGGAGTGACTCACATGTGTGACTTTCCCCCCAGAACCTCCAAGAGTTCACGTTATTAGTAAAACTAAGAGAATTTTTTTTAAGTTTTTGAAACTTAAAAAATAATAATATATTCATGATGAAGGTTAAAAGAAGAAACTAGCCCTGGCCAGTGTAGCTCAGTGGATTGAGCATGGGCTGCAAACAAAAGGGTTGCCGGTTCGATTCCCCATCAGGGCACATGCCTGGGTTGCAGGCCAGGTCCCCAATAGGGGAAATGTGAGAGGCAAGCACACATTGATGTTTCTCTCCCTCTCTTTCTCCCTCCCCCTTCTCTCTAAAAGTAAATAAATAAAATCTTAAAAAGAAAAAATTGGACCAAATTATTTTATTTAGAACAGGATACAACATGTTGTATACCATTTATGACCCCATATAAGCACCTCACAGAGAGCTGGTGGTTGGTAAATGTTCAATTAAACCATCAAAAATATATTTAATACAATTATGCCCCAGGCATTGAACTCTTCCTTATATAACCAAGAATCCAGTGGTAGAAACCATTAATAGCATAATTGAGTATTGCACCATTTAAGGCCAAGTACACCCAACTTTCAAAATGCTTGGCATTTAAAAGCACATGAGGCCAACAACAGCACTGGTGATGAAACAGAGGAAGGGCCACCTTAACATCTCAAAGTGTGATTTTTTATCTACAACAACACTTCTAAGTGCTTGACTGGGCTCCAGAAACTTACCATTCAAGACAAGGCAGACAGCACTGATGCAAACAGACAATTTATGCAGGCATCAAACTCACAAATTAATTTACTCACATTTTGGTTTCTAAGTAACCTTCCTACTCCTATCGGGTAATTAATTAGGTATATAACAGACTTCATGCTTTTCTCAGTTCCATGTCACAATTCCCTGCCTTGATTATTCAGCGTCACCCTCAGGTTTCTGAAGTGACAAATGAAGGAGGGCACACTATTCTAAGTGACACTAAGAACCAGCTCTTTATGTAATGGAAATGAACTGACCCAAATAGTTTTTAGTTGTTTAAGTGATCATAAAACCTTAGTTGGGGGACTTCCAGGTAAAGGCAGCAGACTGAACATATGCATTCACTTGGTGCCCTCCTGAAACCTCACTAAAACATTGGCAAAGGAGTTAAGATTTTTACAAATGTGCAAACCCACAGAGAGAAAGAGAACAGGAAAAGAAACATGAAAGTTGGAAGGAGATGAATAGCAACTTAGCAGACCTGAGAAAAATGAATCATTCCCCAGAAGTGGGAACAGCAAGTTACACCACAGAAGCCTGAGAACTAGCAGAACTGTGGAACTGTGTCCCTCTGGCAATGGGGGTAAAGGTGACTGATAGGATGGGTTCAAAGTCTACTTCAGAAAGAGCTGAGTCCCCAGTTCCCCTCTGTGAGTAGTTTTAAGACTTCCTTGACCCTACCCTGGAAGACAAGTAATCCGAGGGTCTGTGAACTAGGGAACATCAGGCACAGCTGAGATTCAGGCTACCCCACAGAAAACAGGGGCTTCGGTAAATGTTTATAGGCCCAGTGCTGATGACCTCCTCCCCTAGACCTCTTTTCCCATGGTTCCCAGAAAACTGGCCGTTGGGCTACTTCCACACAGGAAGATAGTAACATGATCGTTCTCTTTAGAATCTGACCAGTCCAAAGGAGAGAGAGCTAAAGACTGATGCCAGGATCCCCAAATGTGCACCCAATGCGCCCCATAGTCACCCCACATGACAAGCACACCCAGACTTCTAATCAACTAGTTAGCGCCCCACTCTTAGCTATGCTTGACACCTGAGGAAAGCCCCAGACTGAGAGGCCAAAGCAAGGATGAGGCAACTCGAGGCACAAGAGAATCTTCAGCAACAAAAAAAATTTTTTTTTAAAAGATCGATAATATCTTCAAAGGGTCAGGAAGAGATATTGTAAGCATAAAATAAGAATTTTACTTCCTATGAAAAAGTAATGGAGAAAAAGAAGAGCTCTATGAAATTAAACAATGAGAGTGGCAATGAAAAACTCAACCGAAAGACTGAAAGATGAAATTGCAGAAATCTCAAAAGAAAGCAAGACAACAAAAATAGGAGAGAAAAAAATAAAAATAAAAATAAAAATAGTGAAAGGACTGGTCCAAACTGTCCATTGTCTAGAAAACAGGTCTAGAGACAGAACACAGAGAAAACGGGAGGAACAGATCACTAATAAGGTGATTCAAGAAAACACTCCTCCAATGAGGGATATGAGTTTCAGACTGAAAAGGGCACAAATGCTTACAGCCTAGGAGAGGAGACAAACACAGGCGTAAAATGTAAGTCAAATATACGATGTACCAAATAGCGATAGATGATATGAAGAAGCGGATAGCAGGAAAAGGGGATCAGGAGTGCTGGGGGTGAGATGGGAGGTGACTGTAATTTAAATAGGTCAAAGAAGGCCACCAAGGGAGGGTGACATTTGAGAAATGCTCTGAAGGGGGGCAGGTGAGATGAGCCATGCATGTAGCTGGCTGGGAAAAGGGCATTCCAAGCAAAGAATAAGTACAAATGTCAGAGGCCAGAGTATGACTGCCATGTCCATCCAGAGAACAGAGAAGAGGCCACAGAGGCTAGAAGGGCGTGACTGAGGTGGAGCATGACAGAAAAGGTCACAAAGTTAAGGGCATGCTGAGAGGGGCAAGGGAGGGGGTGTGGATTATTGCAAAGACTTAAGATTTTGGCTTTTACTTTGTGTGAGAATGGGAGGGTTTTGAGTGTAGGACAGACACAGTTTGATGTAATCTGACATATATTTTTAAGGTCTCATTCCAGCTGCCACATTAAGAACTGACTGGGGAGAGGAGACAAGAGGAAAAAGCAGGGAGACCAATTAGGAGGCTGCCACAATAATCCAGGAAAGAGATGAGAGTAGACTGGTCCAGGGTGATAGCATTGGAGGCGGTGGGGAGTAGTTAAAGCTGGGAAATATTCTGAAGATAAAAGAGGATTTGCTGACAGATTGGATATGGAATGTAACAGAGAGAGAGAGGAGTTCAGACTTTCGGCCAGGACAGAGGTGTCATTAACTATAAACAGGGAAGACTACAGGAGGGCCAAGCTGGGGCCTGTTGGACAGGAGAAGGTCTAGAAGACCAGGAGTTCAGTTTTGAAACATGAAGCTTAAAGGGCCTGTTAGAAATCATGTAAGATGTTAGTAAGCAGGTAAGTGAGACTGGGAAAGAAGGTTGGAAGTTACTGGCATATGGCTGGTATTTAAAGCCATGAGAAGATCTCACAAGGAGTGAGTGTATGAAGAAAAGAAGCCCAAGTACTGAGTCTTGGGCCCCTCCAGATATCATAATAGGGTGACTCTAATGAGAGGTATTCAGTGGAGTGGTGGGAGTGAAAACCTGAACAAATCTAGTTCAACAGAACAGGCAATAAGTGGAAACAGCAAGCATAAATGACACACTTTCAAGGAGTGTCATAAAGGGGGAGTCAAGACACTGGGTAGATGATGGAAACGGAGTCGAAGCTTATTTTTAAGATGGGAGAAATGACAGCACGTTTGTATCCTGATGGAAATGACCCAGTTTGTACCCTGACGGAAATTCTGATGTTGTAGGGCAGGGGTGTCAAACTCATTTTCACCGGGGGCCACGTCAGCCTCACGGTTGCCTTCAAAGGGCCACATGTAACTTTAGGACTGTGTGAATGTAACTACTCCTTAACTAGGGGCACGGAGCTCAGCGCTGTCGCCAGGCAGAAACAAGGTGCCTGGCAGGATAAAACAAGGTGGAGGGTTGGATTCGGCCCACGGGCCTTGTGTTTGCCACCTGTGTGGTAGGGGAGAAGGCAGAATTTCTGGAACATTGTTCTCTAGTAAACAAGAAAGGACTGGCCTGAGGTGGAAGCCTGGGCAGTTGACTTGTACTAAGAGAAATAGCACTGTATGTATAAATGAGTAGGTGGGAACTTACGAAAATGCTCTTAACCACTTTTATGTTATCAGTGGAATAGGAAGCAAAGTCATTTAGGTAAGAGTTGGAGAGGTGGGGAGTGTAGGTCGAGGAAGTGTGAAATAATCATCCAAGAATGAAGAGGTAAATGAACTAGAGCACTGCAATAGGACTGCTGGGCAACAATAAGGGCCTGCTTCAGCACTGACTACCTGGGTCAGTGTTGGTTCTCCCGGCCACAGCTACAAAGGTGGCGGCACAAAGTCAGCAGAAAATCAAAGATAACGAGGGATGGGGTTTTGCCAGACATGTAGGACAAAGCAAGAAAAATTACTGAATATATTTTTGAGGAAGTGAACATACAAACCATGAAATTTCAGTTGGATAAGGAGGAAAGTGAGACCACAAGGGGGTAAAGGGCATTTATACAGGTGGTAGGTGCCAGAAGGGTCAAAGAATTCTATACAACTCTATATGAAATCACTTCGCAATGATGATACAGGGTCATGCAGAAAGGATTAAAATAGACACAGCATCCCAGTCACCTCCAATGCTTTGTGAAACAAGAGTTAGGGAAGAGTGTAAACAAATGATTCATTATTATATTTTATGTCCTATGCTAAAAAAAGAAGGCAAGCATGTGAACATTTTTAAAAATACTTCATTCAATAGGTTAAAAGAAAACACATCTTGTTGCTTGAAAGGGAAAAATGAATACAGAAGTCAGAACACAAGAGGGGGTAAGCTCAAGAGATGGGGGTCGGAGAATGGAGCGTGGCTGAGGTTTTCTGAGAAGTTGCAGACGTTGGTGACGAGTCCTGGTGTGTGATCTTGGCAGAGTGACAGAGGCTGCAGAACAAGGTCAATGGGGTGGCAGATTTGAGGGACTGAGAAGCTAGGTGTTAGAGGCACGCCCGCCCGCACAGCATTGCAATCGCTAAGAATTAGTGACGGCAGAGCTGGAGGGAGAGTGGGGGGCCCGAAGGTGGGTCACTGTAACGGGGGAGATGTGGCGGGAACCCGGCTCGGCTGTGAGCAGGACACACAGAATCCGTAATAACGTATAGGATGTGTGTGGTCATAATCTAAGTACTGAATATTAGTTTGGCCAAAACTGGGAAGCAGGAAGGGGAAGGGGAGGAAGCATAGGTTGGGGTGGGGGGATGACTGACAGGGCTGAGAAGAAGGGTGCTAAAAATAAATCCTCATCTTTTGTAATGGAGAGTCAACATATAATATCTAAAAGTGAACAAACAAGAAACAAACACAAACAAGGTGTTTAGAGACATTCAGGTAAAAACCAAAAATATCAGTTAAAAGACTGAAACTGACTGCCTCTGGGTGGAGATGGGGTGTCCGGAGATGGAGGTGAGACAAGGACATGCTGATTTTAAATAACAAGCCTTAGAAAACTACTTGATTCTTTTACGCTGCACTATAACTGATCAACAGTAAAAACTTGAAAAAAAAAGAAAACTGACTTGTTCAAAAGTAAATAATGATGTAACCTCTAATTAGGTGTTATTATTCACCATCCCAGATTAATCAGATTCATAAGAGCAGTCTAAAATACTCACAAACTCTTTTTTTTCCCCCTCAGGAAGGATGCCATCTCGTTAACTGATGCTTTCGACTTCACAGATCAGTGTTTAAATTCGGCACTTGGCTGTTACGACGGAAATGTCTATGAACGTCTGTTCCACTGGGTTCAGACAGCACCAACCAATTCTCAGGTAGTTGAGTAGAACGCATTGTAAATTATGCAAGAGAGCAGAGAACAAGCAGTGACTGCACCTTCCCGTGTTTTCCCATTTTAATTGATTCCCACTAGGTTAGAAATCGCTTGGCATAGCATGTCTGCTTAAAATATTTTGAGAATACATAAAAGAAACTAGGAGCGGGGTGTGGCCTGGCAGGAACTCTGAGTCTGGACTATAATCAGCAAAGTGCACTGTTCAGAATTTGATAAAGGGAATTAAGAGGAAGATCCAAGCTTTAAATCATGGCTTGACACACTCAAGGACCTACACACCTAATGGCAAACTGGCTTTTAAGTAACAAAAATAAGATAAATCATACCTCATCTTATTTTTAGGCTCTTAACTCTGTTTCATGTTGATAAAAGTGGGTATTCACGGGCAATGAGAAGCTTGGATGGACTGGGGAGAGAGTCTTTCTCAGACCTGACTGCCTGCTAGAGAGGCCTCCTTCCTCTTCCCTTTAAGGAAGGCAATCCCAGGAACACAGAAAGCTGCTGCAGTGCCATCAGCAGCCCAGCAAAGCCCAGTCCATCACATTACAGTCCAGTACATTAACTGGAGTGAAGAAACAAACTGGGTATTTAGAATCTGAGGATCAATATTCTAGGAACACACAGATTATTTTAATTTCTACCATGAAAATATGTTGCTCAGATGGTGAAGCGTACTCTTTTACCTCTTAGGTCAAATTTCAGAAAAGGTGCCTTAACACCTCATCAAATTGGCAACTCTCAGGCTTTCATTCACACCTACCATAGTGTTAGACTTGCTCTTCACATTTTGCATTCTGTCATACCTCAGAACTTAATTTAATGGATCATCTAAAGTTATAACACAACGGGCTATGCCCAAGATGGTTGGCCAATCCATCCTCATCCATTCTCTTACAGAAGGCCAAACCATTTCGGTCATTCTCTGACTCTAGGAAGGCATCCTTTTGACTACAAGGAAATAGAAAAAACTTACTAAAGAAGGCATGATACATTTACTGCTTAGTACAGTTAAGCTAACACTAGCTAGTTGTTTTCAACTAGCTAACACTAGTTGTTCGAGCTAACCTGAATGTTTTACTCTTTACTTTCTAATATTTAAATCCTGGCATGAAACTACTGCAGTTCCCCCACTCCAGAACAGCTCCTGTGGACTGAAGATAAATGTATGCCTTTTGGTGCTCCAGAGAAAAACCTACCTTGCTGTGACCCCTGTCAGGAAGTGCAGACATAACCTACTCAAACCTGTTTACTAGCACTGCACAAGGAAACACGCCAGTTCTTCTGACTCCTCATGTTCACTAAAGCACACAGGGAACTTTCTTATTCTTTTGCTGTTTCTAATAGTTATTTTAAAAGCATTTACTCTGGACACTATATGAGGGCAGGCTAAATGACAGGCGTGACTGATTCACAGCATCAACAGACTTGGTAAAATGTTGATGTACTTCACCCCATTCACTTTTCCCTTTTCTTTCTCGCCTGCCACTTCACTGCGAACAAAGATGGAGTCTTCAACTTCCTAACTCTAGGATCTATCACAGAGAGTAGACTGAATTTATGGAGGAAACATGGTTTTAAGACCTGCACAGTAAGATGAAGGAACCTGGTACATACACAACATTGCAGACCTCGCCATCCTAGCTTCCATTACCTTGCTAAAAAGGTGACAGGCACAGCAATGTGGCTCTTTCATGAAAGCAGTTTAACAACTGAGATTATAAATGACCTTGGAGAACTATTTCCAGTTAGTTAAAATGACACTCAGTTGACTGCTATAGAGCCACATGGTCTTACATTTCTGGCTCCTCAGAGGAGCAAAATGGCACCTTTAATGTGTATTTTTTTAATCTGCTGTAGATAATTTTGAAACTGCAGTAAAAGGCATTTTTCATTTGCACTAGTTGAAAAAAGTACACTACGCATATTTCAAATAAATTAAAATAGCTATGTTAAAACATGCCTTGTTGACATAAATGAGCAAATGGGGATCTATTTCACTAACATTTTCCACCAAAAGAAAAGGTACCATGCTAAATTAAATATCTCAGAATCCTAAGCCAGTCTCTCTTCTGTCTGGGAAGGTAAGTGATGAGCTTTCTCCCAAGACTGAATGATGCACTATCCCATGGTTTAGTTGAGCCATGGTGTCTGGTTTATTGGCCTTTTCCCTGTCTGGTTGCTATTTCAAGCCAGTTTTTCCAAAGTGAACAGCAAAAAGCTCTTACCCCTCCTCACATGAACTCGTATCTAAGTGATTTCCTACAGATGCAAGCAGTGGAGGAAATACTGGGCATGATCTCAAAACAAGATTCCTATTTCCCCGAAATTATTCTATTGTAAAAGTTTGTCCAGGTAGTTGCTAGATGCATTAATAGACACAGTTACTGAGTCATTCACTCACTCAACATATTTACTGAGCAAATACTATGTGCAAGAAACTATTCTAGGTTCTAAGGATACAGTGGAGAACAAGAGTTATAGACACTGTCTTCAAGAGTTTTAGCCTTGTAATAAACAAGTAAATATTACAAAAGATGAGAATAGGGCTATGAAGGAACAAATCAAGATATTATATTAGAAAGTAATGGGGAGCCCTGACAGGAGTGGTTCAGAGGACTGGGTGTCACCCCGCAAACCAAAAGCCCGCTGGTTCAATTTCCATTCAGGGCACGTGCCTGGGCTGTGGGTTTAGTCCCCAGTCGGGACACATGACAAGAGGCAACCAATGATGTTTCTCACATAAAAGTTCCTCTCTCTCTCTTTCTCCCACTCTCAATCTCTCTAAAAAAAAACAAATAAATAACATCTTTTTCAAAAAATGAAGAAAATAGGGAGAACCTATTCTGACACAGAATCTTACTTGATTCCACCTTCTCATTCCTTGGTTTATGGTTAATGTTCAATTTCAAGGAGCCTCAAAGAGTTGAGTTCTTTATTTGTATTAAATTCCAAAAGCAAATGATAACTGTGTTTTTCAGTTGGCCACCTGCACCCACAATTTAAAATCTGCTTAATGAAGAATGCCCTTTCAAAAAAATATTTCTCCATATGTTCACATAAAATAAATTTTTAAAATAATTTTTTAAATTAAGGATCTTTTGTAATATTAATTTTGAAACTCAAAACAATTTGAAATTAAGTTATTAATTCTGGCACAAATATTCTGTCTTAATAATACACTTCTTTCTACAAACAGGAGAACCCTGCCTACGAGAAATATCTAAGACCACTACTACAAAGTTGGAGATCCAAGCTATAAGATAATCAACAGCATTCAAGAAGCACCATGATGTGATAATGGTAGTACGGCATACATATCATTAAAATTTTAAAGTACATATATGTGTACTTTTTAAAGTCATTACCTTCTAGAGAAAGTCTGAAGTGAATGAAATACCCATGATTTACTTCAAAATAATCCATGTGGAAAAAAAGGGGTGAATGAATAATTGTTGATGTTAATCAATGGGTACATGGGTGTTTAAGCTATCCTCTCTTCTAAATATGTTTGAAATTTCCCGCAATAAAACATAGTAGCAGTATCCAATTGTAGCATATAGTTTGTTAAATGGCAGGGACTCATTAGTTTTTATTTGTATCTATAGCACACACTTTTCCAAGGGTTTAAAAGGACACACATGCACAACACAACCCTTTTCCGAAAGTGCCTATACCTGGTGTAACCCAAATATATTGCACAGCCCTAAGACTGCAACTAAGTATCAATTATTTTAAAATCAACTCTTCCACAGAAAATTAAAATGAGTAAAAGAAATAATTGTGTTAAATTACCCAAATATACTCAAACTACATTTTTCATGTCATTTTCAGTTGCCTCAGCAAATAAAACACTGAAAATTAAATGCCACCAGACAAATTAAATTGCAAAATATCTTAGTTGGCTACTTTTCCTAACCAACTTGTATAAATATTCAGTTGTTAATTATAATTAATAAATCTGGGAAATTTTACCAAAAGCAAACTTATCTCCAGTAAACTGGACAAGGAAGAGACCACATAAGTTTTAACTTTTAAAACCTTGGAAGGGCAAATATTATTCTCATTTCCATACTGGTTTTCAAATCAAATAATTTTATCTCACGTTCACCTCAGCTACCTTAATAACACATAAGAGGCTTGGGTTTGTTTTTTTTTTTAAGGTAACCATTAATCAGTTTAAAGTAGGAGGCAATTTTCTCAAAATACAACCTCATAGTGGTACATTTACTGAAACTACAGTAACCTGCCAATAACGTTAAGGAATTTTAGTTTGAAAGAGGGGTAAATCATAGGTTTCTGAATGGTAGTCATTTGTCAAATCTTAAATAAATTTTCTAGAGACTGGCAAAAATGAATGAAGGTATTTTCATCCTCCTTTCAGAGGCAGAATCTCAGAGGAAAAAAGAGTGATCTGCCTTAGGGCAAAGAGCCTTAGAACTTTCCTCCCACAGTAGGAGGAAGATACTGCCAGACTTCCTTTTAGAAGGTGTTCTAGCAAACTAGCAAGTCTCACTACAGTTAAACATAACCCTCCCTGTGAGTAACTTCCAAGAAACAGAATCAAATGAACCACACAAAGAAAGACTACAGTGAAACAAATAAACGAACATCTACCTCCAACTATTCCAGATCCTTCATTCACTGCAGTTTATTTCTTCTCCTCCTTTCTTTATTATTAAAGAAATAACTTTAATAATAAAATGTACTTCTGGGTCACCATAATATAAAAGAATAAAGTAGCTGAAAAGTCAGTTTGTCCCCATACTCAACACAATGTTAGGATAAGGGTCATGTTCAGAACTATGACAAATGGCAGATTGTTGAAGAAAAACCTTTAATCCTCAACATAAATTTGACAAAATTTGTCAAAAAGTATGTTCACTGTTCAAAATGTACTCTTTTAGACAAAATTAGTAATCTCATCTATTCCTGCTTTAAAAACACAGCAAAGTTCTATAAACCATATCCTAAGGTTCCATCGAGACCTCTTGAATCAGATACCAGTGTGCCTGGGTAGTGTATATTGCTACTTAAAACAATGTATACTTTAGACAAGGAATGATTTTCCCCCCAAAGTAACAACAGTCACAAATACAAACTCAATTTTTCTATTTCACTTTTTATTAGTTCTTTTTTTTTTCCTGGTAGACAGTATACTTGGGAATTAATACTGCACCAGGCACAAGAAGTTAAGATGTCTACCACAGGGACATTTTGTATTCAGAATCCAATATAAATATTTCTAGTCAGACATTTCCATGGCTACAGATATTTGGTTGCTTGATTCATATGCATAGAAAGAAACAGTTGTCATAACTGTAAAAAGCAGTACTTAACAAGTACTTTTAAATGATTAGAACAGTTTTCCTTTAATATTACGATACAGCTTATTGGTCTGGAAACTAGGTCATCCTGCATGATGTTTTGATTTTTGTCAAAAGCATCATGAGTACTCTGTTTATTCTTTCATTCCTGCATGTTTTAGTCTTCGAGTTGAGCTAGGGACTATTTAATCAAAAATCATTTTAGCACTGTAATAATAAGGGAAAAAAAGCTCTGTTAAGGGTAGATTATATACCATAATAATTTCAGACTTCTTTTTATAAAAAAGGTATCTGGAGGCTCTGAACAGGCACATGCATACTCAGGGCAAAGTGAACAAAACATAGAGAATTCTGCTAAAGCACAAAACTTTCTTCTGGTCTTCAATGCCTGCAAATAAATACAAAAAATTTTTTCCTTAAATCCCACACTGTGATTAAAAAAAAATTAATCAGTCTTTTCCATCTACTGGAGAGTCAGTTTCCAGAAACTTTCCCCAGGGTTAGAGATCAATCATCTGTCTTCCGGGCCAACCTACAGAAAGTCCAGTTGTGCTCCACTGTGTTCTCATTGGCCCGCTCGCTCATGTGATGCACCCGGGTGTTGCGGATCGTGAAGCCTTGTTTTGTGATATATTCCATCAGGTGGACACGCAGAGAAACTTCCTGGTGGTAATCACAGGGTCCAAAAGTGAAGGAAACCTGACAGTCTCTGGTGTCCATCATGTGCTTATTCCACTTGGTAAAATAGTTTGAGATACCTTCTAGTAACGAATGGACCTTGGTGGTGATGGTTAATTGGGTTATGATGACAGCTACTGGATTGGAGTACTTAGAAAGCTTCCGAGTACTAGATAGCTCCACGACTTCTTCAAAAGTATCCATAGGATACAAAGGCTTAGGGTCATTGAGACACTGAATCAAGGGCTCGATTTGATAAAAATCTGCTTCCTTACGAAGCAGATCAAATTCCTTAAAATCCAGGGGTAAGGTCAACTCTGAAGTTCTTAAGAAGTTGAGGACATATCTGAAAAGAGGTCCATCTCGATCAATGAAGTAATTGCCTTGAGGGTCTCGAGCTGTGGGGAAGTCCCCCCCAAACATAGCTCCAAGCATGGAATCTGGGTATCGCGTCAATGTGGTGAGGGACGTTGTGTACAAGTGTCCACCTACATTTAACGTGACTGGGTCAGTCATCTGAAATTTTTTAAAAAAATGATTAGTCACCTGAAAGTTTTAAAATTCTAACTTTGACAAATTAAGAAAAATGATAACAAGCAAAGCAAAAGATCCCTTCAGGCAATAAGTTATTTAGCAATCCTATTATGCAAAACAGCTTTACTTTCAGTGATTAAATCCACCTAGATGCAGGGATCAAACATATGCTTTCAATAGGGAAAAAAGGGATGAATCTAATTCTTTAAAGACATGCTAAGAAATAAGAGTATGACTTCCAAAGCCATTTAATTTCAAGCCCAGTATCTAAAAAGAAGCAGAGTACCATATTCTGCCACGTACAATGTGCCCCCGTGTTTTTGGCCCAAACTTTCAGGGAAAAAAACCTTTCATTTTATTTTTTAAATTCAATTATTTATTTATATTTAGATACTTGTTTTTGGTATTATAAAAGAATTTCGGCATTTATTTTTTAACATATTACGGTACAAGAACTTTTAAGTAACAAATAACTACAAAACACAACAGACACAGGCATTTCAGGTACTACACATGCATGATGCACACCCCAAAATTGGGACAAAATAGTGCACATTATACATGGCAATATACAGTGTATTACGGAAAGACAAAGGCCAAACTAAAATAAACTAATTTAAATGTTTCCATTTAAAAGAGACTTTCATTTTTCTTAACTCAATTTGACATAAAATAGGCAAAAAAAATGATTTGATAAAGAAAGAATCTACTTTTGATATTTCTTTTGTTTCTCCTTCATCAAAAATGGGGGAAAATCATGAAATTTATTTTAAAGATAAAAATCTGTACAGACCTAATCTTCATAATTTTTTCATGGCAATAACAGTGGCAAATACCAAGTTAAAATACACAGTTTGATTAACAAAATTGCATATACCAGCAACTTTCAATTTCAAAATCTGACAGTGTATTCACTTTTGTAACATTAATGTTGCAATCTGGCTTTTAGTTTTGAAAAGCAAGCTTCTCTAAATACTATATACCTTCAGTTTTAGAAATCATATTTAAGAAAACATATTAATACAGACAGATGGACAACATACTAGGCAAGTAAAATATTTCTTACCAAAGGCAAAGAATAATAGGAAGATACATACCATACATATGTAAAGACAGTACAAGTGGGAGAAGTGGCACCTTCCCAGTGGTTAACCTCCCAAACCACAAGGAAATGTCCTCTGTACCTACTAGACCCTTTTCATAGACTGCTCTATGAAGGAAAAGTGTTAAGAGCAATTTTAAAGACCAAAAAATCATCATGATCTCTCTCAAATAAGTGATTAATTATAAAGTTACTTTGAGAGTCCAAACTGAGTTTGCTTACATAAAAACACCAAACCAAACAAAACACCCCCCAAATACATCCTAAACGAATTAACGGGGGGGTTGCACCAATAATTTTCACTTTCACAAGATGTACAGTATTGTACCTAAGAATAAATCAGAAGGGATAAAGACATAAAAAAAATAATTTGACAGCCTTCAAAATGCATCTGCAGAGGCCTCTTACCATATAGCCCCAGTCTCCATTATCCATCTGCTCCAGCACAGCGTCTGGGGAGCCCAGGTTCCAGGGAAACTTGGGGAGAAGAAAAGACATGACAGCGCGTGTAACTATGAAAACAGAGAAGGAAAGAACTCTATTTTCTCTCCCTCTCTCCTTCCTTTCCCCTCTAAAGATAAATAAATAAAATCTTTAAAAAAAAAAAAAAAAAGAAAACAGAGAAGGTTTTTACACCCCACAGGTCAGGCGAAACACCAGAAAACTATTCATTTTTGCTCAATTAAAAACTGCCACAGGGCAGTCTTGGCTGGTGTGGCTCAGTGGACTGATAGCTGGCCTGCTAATCACAAAGTCACCAGTTCGATTCCCAGTCACGGCGCATGCCTGGTTTGCAGGCCAGGTCCCCAGTTGGGAGAGCGCAAGAGGCAGCCCATTTACATCTCTTACACCAGTGTTTCTCTCCCTCTTTCTCTCCTTCCCTTCCCCTCTCTCTAAAAATAAATAAATAAAACCCTTATTTAAAAAAAACTGCTACAGGGCAAAGATCTGAAGAAGAAAGCATTTCTCTAAGGCAGTGATTTTCAAATGATGTGCAGCACGAGTTTTTAAAACATGTGGTACCTGACTATTCAGTCAGAGGCACTGGCCTCTTTTCCCTCAGACTGTCAAAAAAAGACAACAGCCACTACAACAACAGCCATCCAATATGAATGAATCAAAATTATACCTTTTTTTTTTGCAGATTGGCAAAAAAATAATATATTTTTGGGGTTTCCACCAAACTCTACAGAGAAAGAATTATCCTATGCTTAAAGGAGGAAGAGCCCAGCAGTAAACTACTCATTCAAATCCTACCTATATTCTCCAAAAATTCAATATTTAGAATTTCTATAGTAGAACATTATGATTAACTCTACAACTTTATCCTTATACTTATCATGATCCTTATCAAAAAGGCTGTGTACAGCCCTGGCTGGTGTAGCTCAGTGGATTGAGCGCGGGCCTGCGAACCACACTATTGCGGTTCAATTCCCAGTCAGGGCACATGCCTGGGTTGCAGGCCGGTTCCCTGCAGGCCATTTCCCAGCAGGGGACGCACGAAAGGCAACCATACATTGATGTTTCTCTCCCTCTCTCCTTCTCTTCCCCTCTAAAGATAAATAAATAAAATGTTTAAAAAAAAAAAAGGCTGTGTACAAGAAAGGAAGAAAAAAACCACTCTTCTTCATCAGCATTTCAGCTATACAAACTTAACACCTGGATAAAAGCATTAAAAACTATAAACCTCCAAGACACCAGTACTGCTTTGCAAGAGAAGTACACCAGAATGATATTTATTCCATAACAGAAAAACTAATTATACTTTTAATACTAATACATGTCATGTTATATAATAATCAAAACGAATAGAAAATAATTTAAATGTCAAACCATTAGAGCACATTTGGGACAAAAAAGAACCTTATAAATCTGTTTGAAAGTCACTCAGCTGGCACTCAGGGAGAGCCAGGCTGAAGACGCTGATAAACACCCAGATACTAATGATGCCAGTCTGAACTGATCTGCAATTCCAAATTACTTCAACAGAGTCCCAGCTACTGAATAGCTTTAGTCAGTGCCCTCTCACACACATCATTCCCCAAATTAACCAGGAAAGCAAATTTCAAAAGCTGACGAGACAGTAAGAAACATGAACTTACCAGTATTTACCCAGGAAAAGCATTGGCTTTTTTACGTGATCTTTAAACAGATTCACTTTTCCCATTTCAGAGGAATCTGGCACACTATTCCCAGAACAGGCCCTGGCTACAGAAGATCACAAAGGCTCTTTCTCAAAAGGTCACTCAGGCATGTAGAGAACATTTGCATAGCACAGCATGGGCTGAAATCAGACCCTGAAGCATCTATTTCTTCACCTAGAAAATTCTTCAAAGCAAACAAGCTAGAATGTGGACCAGACGACACGCAGTCAGTTTTTATTCTCCACACTCAGCAGCTGGGTATAGATATAGATAGGCCTCCACATGCTAGAGGGGGAAAAGTAGAACCAATGTCAAATTCAGGGCTCTTGTGACAAGCTTTCATTCCTCACAAACAGTATCTGAAGTAAAGAGAACCAAAAACAGCTTTAACAATTTTTATTCAATAACTGATAAAACAGGTAACACTTTAAAAGGCCGGTCATCCAAAAGTTTTGGTAAGATGCTCATCTTTGGCATCTTCTTACCTCCCAAAGTATTCATTCCTGACAACCTCAAAAAGAATTCAGTCAACCAATATTTACTGTAGGTCAATAAGCATTATGTGCTATGTGGATACACAGAAACAGGAAAGGTACAAATCCCTGCCCTCATGGAGCTTTCAATCTATGAAGAAAAGCAATATGCAACACCTGAAGTACAGAACGCAATTCAAAAGTGCTGTTTATATAGCACTTCTATACAGATAGACTAGCAGAGGCTTTCTGGAAGAAAGAGCAAAAACAGTTCCATGTGGAAAAAATGGAGGACTTCTGGGAAGATCTTCCTCAGTAGACCTCAGCAGGGACATCTGGACAACCTGAGAGAGATTCTAGAATGAAGAAACATTTTAGGTAAAAGAGGAGGGGGCCTTCCTCTCTCACACACACATAACATCCCTGATACAGCAAGCAGAGCATGAATTACTAGCTTCATTTTAGAGAAGTAATGGATAAGTGACTTGCTCTAGGCCCCACAGATGGAAAGTAAAGGATTAAGAACTTGGATTTGCTGACTCCTAGTTTAGATCTTTCCATAAATCCCTTTCTTCTGTGGAAACTGAAAGAAACAGAACCCAAGAAACAAGAAACTGAAAGGATTAACTTCAGACGCCCTAAAACAGCTATTAACCCTATCCATCTTGTAGGGTTTTATTTACAAATTTAACAGTAATTCAGTCTAAGTGAGCGGTCGGTCATGAGTTTGTAAAAATTCCAGAGGCAAAAATAGCAAGAAGCTACTCACTAGTGGGACTAAAGGCTGCTGTCCTGTTTCTAAGGGAGGAACTCCAATACATGAATATTCAAGTGGTTGAATGAAAAACGGGGACCAAAGAAAGACAAGGGAGAAAACCAGACATCATTCATGTTATAGCTGTCATGCAATGTCTGTCCACCAGTAATTCTTTTTTGTTTCTTTTTCACTGCTAAATCAAAACAACATAACTTCTTGAGCAATCATAAAAAGAAAATTAGATGATGCTCCTGAATCTGTTCCACAGAAAAAGCCAAGGTTCTGTTCCCGTACAAAGATGTAATGAAACCTCAGGCTTAATAATTCAAGAGAGCAATTATGGTAATCTATATAAACCCATGTTTCTTAAAAAAGCAACCCAAACCTCCTTGCACTTGTGTACAAGATACATCAAAATAAAATGAAATTACTATTATTCACTTTCAATACCAATGACTAAACTACCCCCCAAAAATCAAACTGTTCACTAAAAAGTTTTAAGGGAAAAAATAATACTGATTAGTTTAAATTTTATCTCTACTCCTTACTTCTATTAAATATCCTCTATGGAAATGCTTAGATACAGCAAGAAACAAACCAAAAAAAGCAGGAACATTCTGGTCTTCCAACAGCTGAGTAATCAGCCTCTGAATTGATAACTATTAGGATCATCTCAGAAACAGTGCAGATGAATGAAATAGAACATAATCCAAAAGAATTTCCAGAATAGCTTCAATATCTTCTAAATCGTTTTCTGGATTTCCTGCTAACAATTAGAAAATGATTTATTTGCTTTTCATCTTTTCTCCCTTCTGGCACAGTCTCCAGTGGAGGGCTTAATGAGAAGTTAAATGACCACAAAACAAGCAGCAGAAGGAGATCTTGAAATGGGCATCAAAAATGGGCTTCTTATACTGATGAAGACTAAGAAAAACCTAGTATTTCAGAAAATTTGCCAGGAGTGGAGATTATGAGGGTAACAATGAAAACTCAAGCATAATTATACAGTTCAAAAAAAGGCTCCAGACCTTGTAAAATCAGTTCACCTGGAAAAAATATGACCTTTAGCCCAAATAAAATTCTTGTGGCAACAACTGGGTGAGGAATCCAAAAATATAACAGTACTGAGAAACACTTTTTTCACCCCCACTTACGCTTCAAAGGTTAAGGTATAAATTCTGTTAGCAGATAATTAAATTAAGAAAAAATGCTAAAGAATTTATAAAAGCCTTAAGAAAACTTCCTAAGAATTTTCCAAAGTAGCAAATCTGGAAAATACACAATTAAACAAGTTAATATCTTAAAGAAAAAACGCTGAAAGCCATTTTCCTCACTATTGCAGAATGGCAATTACAGGCTTCACAGTTATGATGAACTAATTGAACACAAATATCCTGGGTTTATTATTTCAAGTACAGACTAAGAATTCTCTGGGGCAAAAGTTCTACTCCTGCATAACAACTTATACATTGCAATACGCACACCTCCAAACTTGAATAAATAATAAAAACCTATAGCTACTGCCTTTTCAAATTTTCCAGGCAGCTCTTTTAAAATGCCTTTCTTTCACTTCTCGGGCTTTTGGCTAAGATCATGTGTAGTATCTGTTCTTATCAGTTTAAAAAGCCTTTCTAGGGCTCATTTCAAATTGGAGCAATATAGAGAAGATTACACGGCCCCTGCTCCAGGATGACACACAGGTTCCTGAAGTGTTCCGCATTATAAAAAGCAGAGAAAGAAAGGAAAGAAGGAAATAAAAGGCCTTTCTACTCTATTCTTTGTGCCTTGCATTCCGAAAAGGAGAGTCAGTAAACTTCATCTATACATACCTTTGAATTACCTTTGTATTGAATTTCTCTGTTCTTGAAATGTGGGATTTTGAAAGTGAAATACTTTTTATAGTAACTAGTTCAGCGACATCTAAAGGAGTGTTTTGGGCTAACACTCACATACAGGCTGTCACAAGTAGCCAGGCACACAGGAGAATGTGACTGTGATGTTAGGTTATCCTTAACTATACCTCTAAAGAAATGGTTTGTTTTTTTCCTAAAACATTCTTTTCTCTCTTCTCTCCACAAGGTCTAGAAGAAAGGCTAAGTTAAAAATTGACTTTAATACTAAAGAGCTATCACAAATAGTCACAAAATCATTAAATTCCTCTTACACCCACTCAGTTTCTACAGGACAAAACAAGATAATGCCACCTTCCCAAAAGCAGTAATACCACTCAGGCACAATACCAAGACAACAAGAGACCTACAGGGTAACAGGTCAGAACTAAGGCCCTGCAGTCACATGCAGGCCAGCACAGAGGAAAGAGAATGGGTTAAGATCCGTATCTTTCTGCTCTAATTCTACTTACGAAACCCTGATTAAACCCTGATTATGCCCAGCTGCTTCTCTGCAGAAAAGGAGAAAATAAGCAAGATCATGAATAGAAAACAATTTGTAAACTGGCCAGTATTAAACAAATGTGAAAATACGAGTGGCAGTATAAACAAAATTTCTGTGGTAAATTGAGAAACTTGAGAGTGTGAACACAAGTAATTTAGAGCACTGGCATGAAGACAGGACAAATATCAAAGAAAAGACCTCTTCATTCTCCCGTGCCCCAGAGCTCTAGAAGAGAGAACTACAGGTACAGGGAAGCAAGCATCCAGCTTTTACAGAGACCGCCAGACATCAGAACTCTTGACCACAGAAGGAACTTCTCGAAAGCATGACTCAGGATTATCTCCACGGTAAAGATGAATCCAAATACACATGTGTATTCCATCTTAAATAGAATCCACATATAAAAATCTAAAACCCCTTGAGGGATTCATAGAAAGATTGGCTCTAAGACTCCTTTATGTAGTAATGCTTTGGTTTCAATACTATTCACGAAAATTCAAATCACACAAACCTTAGGAATAGCATCTATAACCGCCCTGACCACTCAGTCTTTAATATTCATGGCATTACACAAAATGAAGTATTAGCGTGGATGGATGGTTCTCAACCAAAGAGCTAGTTTTCTCACCCTGCCAACCCTGTAGGTAAAATGATTTTCCTTTTCCTAGATACACACGTGTTCATTTGAAAACATCAGGCCTGTGCTTCCCCTAGCTCCTTCCTCTCCTGGAATCATTCACGTACTCGGGCATTTGTGACAGCAAAAAAGATGCACATGCCAATGGGAAATGGTAAGACATTTAGCCTACCCCAAACATTCTTAGCCAAACCAGGTGTCACTCAGGGTCTCTCTGCACCCAAACCTCATCTACCACTAAGTCCTAAAATTGGATTTACCAATTTGTTCTGGAACTGGTATAGTTAGACAGAAACTTGGTAACTTCAGCAGAATATCCCAACAGGATCTGTTTCATTTCTCCCGTCCTACCCTCGGACACAGCCTCCGCCACCGTCGGCCCGGCAGGTGCTTCAGAGGCTCCCCCGAACCGCGGCCATTTATCACTTCTGACATCGAGCACTAAAAATGCCATGACACACACAAATCTGAGCATGAAAAACTCAGCTGCTGTCAGAGCGTCTCTCTGGGACAGAAAAATCCCGAGGCAGGGCTCAGAAGCTCTACCGTAAGCTTCAAATTACCGCAAACGGGTGCAAACCACCCCCCAAAACAATCATTTTCGAGCACACCTCCAGGTGTCCCCGGCCGGGCGGTGCCTCGCTCCTGCCCCGCAGACGAAGTCCCCCCACCTCGACCCGGCCCCAGCAATGGGGCAGGAGATGCTCCGGGCCCGGGCAGAGGGCGCGCACTGAAGCCCGAACCGGGGTCCGCCGACAACACAGGTCCCCTCCCGGCCGGCCCCGGAATCCCGGCCCAAGCCCGGCCGCTCCGCTGCGGGAAGCCGCCGTGGGCCCGTGCCAGCCCCGGGGCGCGCCGCCCAGGCTCCCCTCGGTCCCCTCAGCGCGGCCCCGCCACCGCCCGATTCACCTCAACCGTGCTTCCCCTGCCGCTCCTCGCGGGCTTCTCCTCCGGCCGGGCCCTCCCGAGCCCCGGGGCCCCTAATCCCCCGGCCCGCCCCCACTCACTGCAAGGCGGTGGCGGCCGGGCCGGGAGACACCGGCTGCCGGAGAGAGTGAGCACAAGGACTAGCGAGCCCGCGCCCAGGGGCGGCGGCGGCGGCGGCAGCAGCGGCAGCGGCGGAGGGGACGACTGATCCCGCTCCCGGAGTTGCGGCTCCAGCCGCCGGGAGCGGGTGGCGCCTCCCAGCAGAGCCGCGGCGCCACGAGCGCGCGCGCCCCCTAATGACGGCGCGTGCCAGAGGCCGGAGGGCCGCGGGCCGAGGAACTCCGCAGGGCTCAGCCAGGCGGAACGTCAGTCCAGCTCCGTCGCAGCCCCGAGCCCCAGTCCCGCCCCCGAGACCCCGCCCCCAAACTCTAGGCCCCACCTAGAACCCGCGTGAGTCCTGCCTCCGCCTGCAATTTGGGATCAGCCCAGTCCTCCCGCAGTTTTCCCTGTGCCCGTCCTCAGACCTATTCTTGTTTTCTCACGAACCTGTGTGGTGTCCGGACCACATGCTAAGCCTAAGGGGTACAACGGCCATCAAGATGCAAGGGGTCCTAAATAGGAGAGAAAACAGACAAGACCCAGGAATCAAAATCATGACAAGTTTATGATATGTTGGGAGATGTCTGATTAAAGGAATTAGATAGGGAATAACAGGACAGGACCTCTGCTTTAGATGCAAAGCCAAGATCTGGACACTGGGCTTGTAGCAGAGCACCCCTGGAGTGGCCGTTGGTGGGGGAGTCGACTGTAATAAGGTCACATATCAGGCTTGGTGGACAAGATAGGGAAGGGTAGCCAGGCCTGAAGGGCCAACATGGGCAGCCAGATGGGGAGAAGGACAGAGCTGACTTCAGCAGAAAAAAAACAAAAACCAAAAAAAACGACCGGTACAAAGGCTCTGAGGCCAAAAGGCGCTGGCCCTACTTGAGTCTGGGCACCCGTATTGTCCTCCTTTCACCAGGAAGTGAGCCAGAACTGCAGAAGGTGGGGAATTACATAAAAGCCTCAGAACTAATTGGTCTCCAAGAAGAGACTCCTTCAAAATCCCATTTGCTCCTGCTAACCAGATGTCTCTCCCCTTCCTGGTGGTACCGGATATATATTTTGCCATTTTCCCTTCTCCACCAGGATAACCACTGGCCTTAGAAACTTACTTGTGTTTCATGTCTACATGTACATGAGCTGGCTGGCCTTTAACTTTTATCATATGATCAGTCATATCTGATACTTGGTTTTTCCCTGAAAACTTGCATTCATAGCTTAAATAAGTTCCGTACGCTTCATCAGTATAATAGAGTGCTACAATATCATATTTAACATACTAGGCGAGTTTACTAAAAAATGTGTGAGAAAATAAGCAGAGCACAAAATGGTATACATGATATAATCCTAATTTTATTTATAACAACATAAATATACATAAACAAACATTTTAAAGAAAATACAGCAAATCATTAATCATAGTTCTCTAGGTAGTAGGATGGAAATGTAGTGATTTACCACTTCTTAATGTTCTTCTGAATTTTCTATATTTTCTAGAATCAATATTGAATTTGTAATCAGGAAACTATAAAAAATCAGAGGTGTTTATTTTTTTCTACAAGAAAGACAATAGCAGCCCTGGCTGGTGTGGCTCAGTGGATTGAGCGCAGACCTGCAAAACAGGAGGTCACAGTTCGATTCCCAGTCAGGGCACATGCCTGGGTTGCAGGCCAGGTCCCCAGCAGGGGACATGGAGAAACAATCACACATTGATGTTTCTCTCCCCCTCTCTCCTTCCCTTCCCCTCTCTCTAAAAATAAATAAACTCTTTAAAAAAAAAAAGAAAAGAAAGACAATATTAAAGTTATCCAACACAGAGACCCCTAGGATTTGGTGCCACTGAAAAATCCAGATCTGCTCCTGGCTTACTGGTGTCTTCCAAAGAGTCATTTCCCCCTCTCAGAGTTTTTATTTCCCCAACTAAAAACAGTGGAGTAAAGCTGGTATGGCTCAGTGGATTGAGTGCCTGCCTTCAAACTGAAAAATTGCTGGTTCAACCCTGACCCCTGGGTCTGGGCATATGCCTCTATTGTGAACCAAGTCCCCAGTTGGGGACATCTCTCCCTCTCTTTCTCCCTCCCTTCCTCGCTCTCTGAAAGTAAATAAATACAATCTTAAAAAATAAAATAAAATCTTTTAAAAAACCGACTGAGTGGAATTAACTTTGTCAGTGGTTTCTTTTCTTTTTTAAAGATTTTTAGAGAGAGTAGAAGAGTAGAAGAAAGAGAGGGAGAGAAACTGTGTGGTTGCCTCTCGAGCGCTCCCCACTGCGGACCTGTCCTGTAATGGGGGCGTGTGCCCGAGTTTGGAATTGAACTCAAGACCCTTTGGTTTACAAGCCGGCACTCAGTCCAGGGAGCCATACCAGCCAGGATGTCAGTGGTTTCCACAAAACTATTCTTACATGTCTCAAAGTTTTTATTGCTATTATAAATTATATTTTCAAATTTATATTTTACAATGTATTGGTTGGTGGTTATTGAAATGCAATTGGTTTCCATATAATAATCTTGTATTTTGCAGACTTGAACTCTTCTTTAGTTCTAAGTTTATAGGCTCTCTTGAATTTTCTGTGTAAATATTCAGAGTCTTCATTTCCTTTTCCTTGTTTTACTGTACTGACTAAAATCTCCAGCACAATGTTGAATTATAATAATGATAGTGAACATTTCTATTCTGTTCTTGACTGTTTCTAACCTGTCACCATTGAATATGGTATTTGTTGTAGATTTTTGATAGATACCCTTTACTGAGGTACTATTATCCAGGTACTTTATCGAAGGAAGCACTATTGTGCTGTGTTATGAATGGGTGTTGAAATGTATCAAATGTGGGACTTTTCACCCTAATGTAATGAATTACAATTGTGGATTTTAATTACATTAAAACATCAATGAATTCCTGGAATAAACTTACCTTGATGATGTATTATGTTTTCAATATAGTGCTGCATGCTGTTTGCTAATATTTTACTTAGGGTTTTTGTGTCCATACTCATGAATGCGATATGTTTACTATTTTCCTTTCTTATTTTCTCCATGTGTGGTTTTACTGTCAAAGTTACATAAGCCTCATACAATAAATTAAGAAATGTTGTCTCTTCACTAGAGCAGCTTCTGTAAGACCTGGAGTTTGGATTTCCTTATAGGTTTCTCCTGTAAACCATCTTGGTTTAGAGCTTGGGAGTGAAAAGCATTTATACAGACACCTCAACCCACAATATTCAGTCTGGCCTCAGGGCCCGTCTCTCCACCTAAGCAGCATTTGTACGGCCACTAGGAATCTTGTTGCTGAACCCAAAAGAACCTCCTCAGATCTCCCCATCGGGCCTCCCTGGGTGATAGATTGACCACACCCTCTAACAGACAGCCTCTTTGGAACCCTATTCGGGTTTTCCTCCTTCCTCTGCAGTGCCTCCTCGCACTCATGGAGACACTCCTCCTTGGGCTTACCCACTCCTCATGCCCTGGCTTCTGGCCAAGGCCATTGTCTCTGCTCTGACTCCTCCTCTCTGTGGGCTGGCTCAGGCTCTTCCATGGATTCCATTATTATCTCTAAATCAAAAGGTTCCCAAACTCATACCTTCAGCCCAGGCCTCTCTTCTTGATTTGAGACCTACACATTTGAGATGCTGCACATCCTACAGCCCCAACTATGTACCAGGGACTGTACTATGTGCCTTTACCCTCTGAGTTAGTCCTCTACTGCCACATTATAAATTACCCAAAACATAAGGGCTTAAAACAGCAAACATTTCTTATCTCACAGTTTCTGTGAGTCAAGAATTTGCAAGTGGATTAGGTAGGTAGCAGATCTTGCAGTGTAGATGCAGTCTGCAGTCGGCTATAGGTTTGGCTGGGCTGGAAGGTTAGTATCTAAGCCCACTTATGCAGTTTCTAGCAGGACACAGTAGGTCCTCTTCATATGTGCCTCTCCTGGCAACATGGCAGCTGACATTCCCCAAAGTGAGTGATTTAACTGAGAACAATAAGCCACAAGGTTTTTCTAACCTTGAAAGTGACATACCCGTAGTCTCATGGTCTCAGAGACTAGCCCTATTACAGCTTGAGAGTCACCACACCAAGAACATGAATACCAGGAGGTGACGATCATTGGGGTTATCTTGGAGGTTTCCCACCACAACCTCATAACAACTCTGAGTGCAGACTACCCACATATCCCAGGCACAGATCAGAAAACTAAGACAAAGAGAAGTGAAATCATTGCTCCAGGCCACATAGCCAAGTGTGAGAGGAGATTTTGATCACAGCTCTGCCCAGCTCCCAGCATTTTCTCTGCCTTTATAGTCCATCCTCCGATGCTCCACCACCAGCCTCCTCACCTTCAACATGTGCAAAGCTAAACCCTCTCACCTCACCACCTCCAAACCTTCCAAGTCCCCAGCTCAGCTCAGCAAACGGTACCACCATCCTCCCATCTGTCCATCCCAGAAGCTTTGAGTCATGGCTGCTCCTCCCACCCCTCGACTCCCAGTGCCAGATACCCCAGCCCTGCCAAGTCTTCCTCCTCAGTGCAGCCTGGGTCCACCGCTCCTTCTCCCTCCACCTCCACCACCATCGCACTGGGCCAAGCCACCCACTTGTCCATCCTGGACATCTGCACTAGCCCCTCTCTGGCCTCCCTCGTTCTCTCTGCCCCCACACAGTCCATCTGCCCTCCTCTCTCCAGTATGAGTCACCTTGTAAAACGCAAAACTGATATGTCACCCTGCCTGCTTTAAACTCCCTCCATGGGGCTCCTACTGCCTTCAGGATCCAGCCCAAATTCCCTCCAGCGTGATCTGGCCTCTGCCCCCTTGTCCAGCCTCCTTCTCTCTCTTTCTTTCTCTCTCTGGGGGCCCCCAGCCCCTTTGGCCACATTTTGGTATCTGGGACCCACTGCAAATTTTTTTCACTTCAGGGCCTCTGCTATGCTCTTCCCTTAGCCTGAAGCACTCTTCCCCAAGCTCTCAGCATGTCTGTCTCCCTGTCCTTCAGCATATTATCGCCTACTCAGAGAGGCCTTTCCTGACCTCCCAACCAGGCTGGTGTCCCCAGCTACAAGTTCCACAGTGCATGTCCTTCTCTGTCCTCATCTCGTCGCTCCTCAGCTGAACTGTGAGCTCCCTGAGAGCAGAAGCTGTGTCTGCCTGGCCAACAACAGCATCCTGGAACTTCACAGTGAGCCTGATGCTTAGCACACTCTCAACAATGA